CAGCTGCTGCTGCCACTTCCCCATACCTTGACTATACTGGAGCAGCGTATGCTCAGTACTCTGCGGCTGCTGCCACTGCTGCTGCCGCCGCTGCTGCATATGAGCAGTATCCGTACGCAGCCTCACCAGCACCAACGAGCTACATGACTACAGCAGGGTATGGATACGCTGTCCAGCAGCCGCTTGCCACTGCTGCCACCCCAGGAGCTGCCGCTGCTGCTGCCGCCTTCAGCCAGTACCAACCTCAGCAGTTACAGACAGATCGCATGCAGTAAAACCATGACAACTACCTTAAAGGAGGAAAACAGGGGAGGTCACCTGCTCCATGAAGAGGGTGAAGTTACAGTATGAGGGGGAAGACCATAGGGGCTGAAGGATGGATGTCACTCCTAGGTTTTAACTTAGCAGTCCTACAACCAAAGAGCCTGAGAAAATCACCAAAAATGTGGAGAAAATTAGGAATTACTGTATATTTTATTCAAGTGAGATCAGTATTTTGTCACTATTGAATATATATGAATATTTAATATTTATTCAGCAGGAAAATATTTAATGTTAATTGAAGTAGACTCACTGGACCTCATGTCAACCATTGCTGAATTTTGTGTATATCGCAGTGGAATATGTATAAAATTCCCAAGTGCATTCATGTCTTATGATCAGGTTTCTTCCCCTCTTCTTTCAAAACAAACCAAAACACTTGCATACATACGAGAACAGTATGTTACCATCATGCAGTTTTCAGTATTTCATAGTTTTGGACCAGTATTTTGTTTGGTAAAGCTATGCAGACATCGATATAGAAGATAGTGTTTTGTTAGGATTGTTCTTTTTTTTATAGTTGTTTGGAGTGAGATAGATTAGACGCCCTCATTTAGTTCCTCTTTAAATTAATTTTCTTGATTCTATGTAAGACAAAATGCTGAAGTGACGGCTGAAGGTGGAAAAAGCACTCACGTTTCTTCCCTTTAAAGTGCACCTCAAGTAAGCTCAGCATGAGGGAAGAAACATTGTTGAATGTGAATTGTTCATTTTGACAAAATGTCTCATAATGTGCCTTTTAAATTATGCTATTTATGTATTTATTATGGAGCCTTACAGTAATAAACCCTTTATTTTGTGTTCATGTGTTAGTTTGAACCCACGTGTGCTGCTGCGTCATGATCAAGAGCATATGATGGATGTTTAAAGTTGGCTTAACAAAGCAATACACTGTATAAAGAACAAACGATGAGTGGAGAGGTAGCAATAAGTCCAACGCATTTCCTGTTCTCTGTAGATTTGAAGTTGTTGTCTCTAATAGATTCTTAATTCTGTAATGTCGCTTTTTATACTTGACGAGTTTGATAAAGGACAGCGTGAGAACTGTTGACTTTTTAAATTTTTTTACATTTGATGTCACTAGACGTTGAATGTTTTCTAATGCAGAGGCATCGCCTGTTTTGCCTTGCATTGTGTGCATGACTCAATAATGCAAAAGTTTAATATGTGAAATAAAAAGAAATTTACCTTCAGTTTTTTTGTTTGTCTGTGTCCTGATGAAGCATAGCTCTCATTTGTTAGTCATATAATCTGTTTGGGCTTTTGTTAACATCTCTCAGCAAGAAATGTTCTTATTCTGTGACCAATATCATGGTAGAAACCCAATATAAATCCTGCACCTCGAGATCCATGTCACTGACTAGTATCTTTTGGCCACTGATCTACACTGCTGCAGAGTTTGATGCAGGCCCCTGTTGACATTATAAATCAACTCAGATGTTGTGCGTAACATGAATCCAGACTGCTGTGACTCCAAAATAGAAAGTAGGTGAAGTCCCTGTTCCCACATTACACACCCATTAGTTTAAAGAAACTGTTTGCCAGATTTCCTCATGCTGACCAATTGAAATAAATCAAAACCTTAAAATGAACTTAAATGTTATGTATTTTGGCCATGTTTCTGAATAAATTAAGCTAAAATTAAATCTGATACAGCCTGTCCTGTGGCAACGCAGACCCAAACAGCTGACATGCACGCTCACTCCCTGTTTGAGCCCCTACAGTCCATTCCCTGCTTTGTTCACCTGTTTACATCCTTCACTACAGTCCCAACCGCTTATGTTTCTATACAGCTGTGAGGAAACTTGTGATGTGACCTGGGCAGATGGAGGAGCAGGCAAGCAGCTGCAGGGTCTGGAATATCCAGACGGTTTGCTCCAATGGAATAAATTCTATTTTCTGAGTCCCTCAGTTGCCCCCTCAGGTCTTCTCACAGAAGCTGTAGTCTCCTGACCTCTGCTGGTTCATGTGTGGCACTCCGTATTATCAAGCATCATGCAGCTACACAATGGTGGAAGAAGTTTTCACAACTTTTACTCAAGTGGGTGTCACTCTACAACTGAATTCTACTGTACTATTATTATGAGATTTCATCAGCATTATTTTTGCTTTGTTTTCATTTTTATCATTCATAAGATAAGACTTTATTGTCCCAGAAGGAAATTTGTCTTGGATACGTAAGGTGCCTGCCGTTAAAAGATACAAAAAAAAGTTATACATACAGTTCCCACATATATACAGTCCATACACAGAGTTGCCACTATTCACAATCCCACACACTCAGTACCAACAGTACATGTACAGACTGCCATCAGCCAACAAATTCCACGCTGCCCATAACACATCTGTTTTACATAGTGATCATTAAAAAAATACACTTACGTTGAAAAAACAAATGAATATATGTATATATACATATACACACATTCACATACATACATATTCACATGCACATACATACCTACACATACACATTTTATGGTTAAGCTACAGTTAGCTTCCTATTTAAGGCTTTAATGGACACTGTGGGACTCTAAAGCGTCAGCCTGAGGGGGGAAGTTGGTACTCATGATGGAGGACATGGGTGGGGTCTGAGATAATCTTCCGAGCCTGTCTGGTAATGATTCGCTCACAGATAGACTGGAGTGTGGCATGCTGCCTGACTCCCATGATTGTTATGGCTCTCTGCATAAGCTTGGTAATCTGGACCTTCAGTTGTACACTGAGGTTGTCAAACCAGGCTGAGATGCTCTCAACTGTGGTATGGTAGAAGAGGAGCAACACTTTCTGGTTGACTCCAAAGACCCTCAGCCTGCAGAGGACGTGTAGGTGCTGTTGGACCCTAGTGCAGACCTTATGTACCTGAACACTCCATGTTAGTTTATGGTCACTGTGTATGCCCAGGTATTTATATGATTCAGCCTGGGCTATGTTTTGGTCATGGATAACCACTGGTGAATGGTCTCCAATAGATCTGGGGTCGAATTTCATCTCCTCTGTTATCTTTATATAGATTATGAAATGTTTCATTTCATGTCTGTACACAGCTGTGTCACATGTGTCAGACATGAGACCCAGGATGGCTGTATTATTGGAAAATTTTATAATGTAATTATCAGCAGTGCTGCATGTGCATGTATTAGTGTACAGGGTGAACTAACACATCCCTGGGGTGCGCCGGTGGTGATGGACAGGGGTTCGGACAAAGTCCTGTTCACCCTGACTTGCTGGGTACAGTTAGTGAGGAATGAGTGGAATGAGTGATGAAGTGGCTGACATTCATCAGCTGCAGTGTTTCCGGGAGGACATAAGGCTGTGCGCAAATCTACAAACAACAGTCTAGCATAAGCCTTAGGATTCTCAAGATGTTTAGTCACAGGGTGTACTATACCGCCAGTTGCATCATCAGTTCCTCTCTGGTGCGTGCAATCAAACTGGTAGGGATCTAGCTGTGGGCCCACATCCTGCTGTACTATGCTAGACTATGTCATTATTCTCCTGGGGACATGGATTCTGAGGCACAGGCGTGATGATTGCCCTTCTCTATTGTCCTGGTACAGTTTGATGGAGTCTAAGGAGGTGTCAATTCATCTGCATGTGTATTCAATTAAAAAAAAAGGCAGAGATATTATCTGGACGTGTGGCCTTGTTGACGTTGAGTTGTTCAAAGGCCTTACTGACACATATATTGGCACATTAGGGTCGACATATAGCCTCTCATGATGGTTAAGCGACATCTATGACTCTCTATAAATAAGTCATAATTACTCCAGGGCCCATAACACTACAGAGTACATTATTAAACAGGCATTACAAAAAAATCTAACTATTTTTGTTTGTAAGTTTTGTTCTTTTAATATTAGTCAGTGGTTGGGGATGTAATGATGCCTTGTTAAGAAAAAATATAAGTAAAGATCTAAACTTGAACATATAAGAGGGGTTAAGTGCCAAAAATAAAACTACTCTGCAGAATGACCCATTTCAGAATAATACAGTCACTATTATAAGATTACAGTTACTGATGCATTCAAGTGTAAGTGTCATTTTAATGTTGCAGCTAAAGTGGGACTAATTTGAACTATTTAATATGCAGGTAGGCTAATCTATGGTCATACATTAGGATCAAAATGAATGATTTGAATCTGTAAAGTAACCAGTGAGCTGTCATATAATTCTAGTGGAGTTAAAAGCGCACTGTTTTCCTCTTAAGTGTAGCGGAGTGGAAGTATAAAGTTGCATAAACACGAATTGCTTGAGTAAAGTTGCTACAGACACCTCAAAATTGCACGTTTGTACAAGTTGTACAATTTCCCGAGAGAGTCATTAGGTACTTTCCGCCAATGTATACAGAAGAACTCTTCACTCGTGTTTACAGATCGCGGTAATTTCCCACAGGAAGTTTTGAGTACCTTACTTTGACGCACTTCAACAGACTTTTGATCGAGGCAACGATGCTGCGTTCAAGTCATAGCGGAGTTATTGAAATATAAGTTTCCGACTTATGAAACGCGTTCACGTCAACGTCCAAGTCGTAAATATGACTGGAAAAGTCGGACTGAAAGCTGGCTTGTAATTGAAATGTATTTGCCGCAGTTATATGATAATACATCAGTATTTGACAAGGGTAGCTTCCTCAACTCTCCCAAAAATCCCATGTGTCCTGAATGCAACATTCCGCATCCTGGGGGCGGTGAGGTTTACTGGCAGTCGGAGTGAACAAAAAAACCGAAGTGGAACAGAGCGTGCGAAAAAATACCAGTAATAACCTCGGAGGGGCCCCGACAGGGACTGAAACTGTGACTGCAGGCAATGTGAGTACTTTAGTAATACTTGGTCGTTGTTGCTCCCTGTCGTCCAACCGTCAGCAAACGTTATTGTTTTGTGGAGAAAAAAACATGGCCATCTTGTTCCATACGATTCGACAAAAAAAACACATAAACGCGGTCCTTATCAAATTAACCGTTATCTCTGTAACTTAAATTAAGATAGCCAATTGAATGTAGGTTACGTCGGTTAAATGGCCGTTTCTTGCCTGAAAGTGAAATTTGTGGCCTAACGTTAAATTCACCAGCGTTAACCGTTCGGAGTCTCCGTGGAAACTCGAGGAAATTAAACCGCTGTTCATTGGTATCAAACACGGAGCCCACATTTTCATTTAACCCTCAAATTAAAGTCGGGTTAGTGATAGAAAACCACACAGTATGTACACAGCATCTCAATAAGTGTCTTAATTAAATTGTCGATCGATGGTTATTATCAATTATGATATATACCGGAAGTGAGCATTGTCATGTGACCTCGGTAACGTTACATTGTATCACACTGTGGACTCCACTCAGGTCGTCTGTCATCATTTAACAGCTGCCGTCTATTTTAATTTGATAACATTTAATGTGATTTCTTTTCATTTTTTTTAATCCTTCCCAATAATCCATCACTCCAGCGGGTCTGTGCTCCCGATCTAAGCCAGAGATGACCACCGAGAAGACTACATACTCTCCCGTGGAGGGGCTATCCTCTCCACCAACGCTCCCCGGACAGCCAGCGTTTCCTGTCGCATTTGACATGAATATGGCAGGCCCAAATATGTACGGAGGACCTGCCCCAGGTGGTGCACCTGCTCCTACTGGTTTCCTTGCTTCAAGTGATGCACCTGCTCCTACTGGTTTCCTTGCTCCAGGTGGTATCTCTGCTCCAGGTGGGTTCCCTGCCCCTGGTGGGTTCCCTGCCCCTGGTGGGTTCCCTGCTCCTGGTGAGTTCCCTGCTCCTGGTGGTCTCCCTTTACCCCCACCAACTGCTTTTGGACGGGCTGTCCCCGGAGCTTTCGGAACGACCGACCCTCAAGGCGGCTCACCCTACTCGTCCCCAGGCCAGGGCTTCAGTGGTAATGGTAATTAGTATTTCTAGCATTGTTACATTCTTTGATATGAAATTACAGTGCTTGTGTAATTTAATTAATTTGATGTTTCTGGTTGGTGCCACTGCAGATGAGGTTTTCCACAATGAGGACGACCCACCACCCTTTCATGAGAATCAAGACTTTGATTTTGGATTAGACAACAAGAGCATAAGAAGAGCCTTTATTCGAAAGGTAAGGACACAGTGTGGGTGAAGAAAAAGTCAAGTTAATATGGCTGAATGTGTGAGGCCATTATAGGCAGTGTTGCAAAGCAATGAGCAGCACTGCTTTTTGTCACATTACATTTTGCAATTACAATTTATAATTTAAATCTCCAGAAACATGTACTACACCGCAGTGTTTATCGATATTGTGATATAAAATAACATACACAGTGACAGAGGATTTTATTCATATTGCTCACTTCAGCACAGAGACCACAAGGCTGCAAAAATCCTCTTGCACCTAGTCATGTCATTATTTCCCAAAAATGTAATAAATGTGCACTTAACCTGAGAGAGATAAGATTAGGGCAAAGAGATCATGATTAGGGCTAGTGCTAGCCAATATCTAAGATTAAAGTGGTACATTAAGAAGGAAAAACTCACAAATGTACAGTCAGAAAGTTACATAATGAAGTAAAGCAGAACAGCTGAATGGACCTGTTTGTGTTAACATCTTATTTCAACATTGCTAGCATGCCCAGGAATATACACTCAGGTGTTAAGAGCCACAGTGACTATTTACACACGGGGCGCAAATTGCATTGTTGGCTTCGGACAGCTGGATGCTATCATCTGCAATAAACAAATACATTCATACAGTACAACCAAGCTCCTGTAATAGTTTGGTAGGGTAACAACAAGCGGGAAATGGGCTGAGGAGAGTTAAGTTGTACTGTTTGAATGTAGTTATTTACTATTACGTAGAGATCTAGTAACGGCTATCCTTCATTACACCAATACAGCTTTAATATGTGCTTTGGGTTTGGGTCAGATATGTGATTTCATTTTAGTTTACAGTACAGTTCTTTTGTAATGTTTTGTACTGTTATTACAATATCAGTTTTTATTTGAGAACCTCAAAAAATTCTGGAATGTGCACCCAAATAATCCTTGCCGTCTTGCCATACTTTCCACCATATTTTACTGAAATCAAGTTTTTGACACAACACAAGCTAAAACATATAACCTCTGTTCTGGAGCTAATTGTGTGCTCTGATACAACTTTAGATCTATCCAAAAAAAGACATTCTTTGTTAGGCATACCGTCTGTGTCTGCTGTCTAATAATCCACTCTTCCCTGCAGGTGTTCTTGGTATTGACTGCTCAGCTGTTGGTGACATTCGCCTTTGTGGCTGTTTTCACCTTCGTGCATGAAGTCAAGGCATTTGTCATGGTGAACATCTGGACCTACTTGGTGTCCTACGCTGTTTTCTTTGTGTCCGTCTGTGTGATCAGCTGCTGTGGAAGCGTTCGCCGAAGACATCCTTGGAACCTGGTTGCATTGGTAGGCGTGCTTTCACTTTGTTTTTTCAAAATAGAAGTAAGCGAGAGGAGGAATTACAGCTCAGGAAGTCCTGTGTTATCTGATCTGGAATACTGAATCTCCATTGTGTTGGACTTCTGGTTTTTGAACCATACAGCTTTTCTGTTATACTTTGTTTTAAAAATGGAATTGAATAAACAACAAAGAATAATGTGTTGTGGTACAATAAGACACGACACTGCTTCCTGCTGAGAAGCTGACATTTTGTATTTTTGAAGTTTTCAGCCTACAGTTGTGATATAAGGCATCCTTATTCTCTAGTTTACACAGATTCTATTCAAGCTGAGCCTCACAAATGTTATTATCATCATATAACTACACAATGATTTGCCATTTCTTACTTATGCCATGAAAGCTGTGCTCCGTTCAGACATGTTGCAGCAGTGCTGATTAACTGTGTATGTGCTTCTTGTTTTCAGTCTGTCTTGACTCTCAGTATGTCCTACATGGTGGGAATGATCGCCAGCTTCCACGACACAGAGTCAGTGGTAATGGCAGTGGGCATCACAGCAGTGGTGTGCTTCACAGTGGTCCTCTTCTCTCTGCAGGTTTGTATCCGTCAGTCCCTTCCTCTGGTATGCATGTCTTGCACATCGATCACGCTCTGACCTTTTATGTCTCTCTTGGCTTCCTCCAACAGACCAAGTACGACTTCACTTCCTGTTATGGTGTGCTTTTCGTCTGTTTAATTGTCCTGATCATCTTCGGCCTCCTCTGCATCTTCATCCGCGACAGGATTCTGCACATTGTGTACGCTGGACTGGGAGCTTTGCTCTTCACCTGTGTAAGTACTTTGACAAACCATTGTTTTCCAGCTTCACTGTATATGATGAATGTGACTGCAGACATTGGTAGTAGCAATATTAAAAGTAATTCTGAGATCTCAGTCACCTCTGGTCTGATTGAACAAAACTGGGATGATGCATTTTTGCGCCATTTCTCATTTTAAAATGTGCACTAAATAGCCTAATAGTTGCTATAGATGAAAAGCACGGTATCTGATTGGTCATAATTGATTTTTGACAAAAACTTTTGAAAGTATGATACCTCTTGGCACTAATTTGTCGCATTTGGTAACCTAATGTAAGTTATGGTCAACGTTTCAAACTAAAATGCCTAAAATCTGCTATGTCAATCCTGCCACGAAGGACACTGATCACCTGTAAATTCCTCTTTTTGTGCGTTTTCATAGTTTTAACCATAAAAGACTGGTGCAGAGATCATGTTTTTAATAGGCCAACCCGGAAGTTAATATCGCCCTGGTTCCCTCAACAAAAAGCCAATGAGATTTTTCCATTGGATTTTGGATTATTACATGAAATGAGCTCTGTGGCAAGCAGAACTTTCTGATACTTGAACATTTTGTTCAGCAAGTTAATCTTCACAAATGAACACCACGTCTCTGATTTTTGAGGCTTAAATGCAATTGCCAGAAGTCAAAAGCTAATGTTGGGCTATAAACAAACTACACCACGGTCTTGTGACTTCAGCGCCGCCACCACAACGAGGCTGTAAAGCCATGTTCGGCACAATGGCATCAGCCACTTGTTATCAACCACCTTTTAAAGACATGTACAAGCTTCAAAATTCACAAGGGGGGTATTTACAGATGTATTTTATGTTGTAGAACAAAACGTGAAAATCTCTGAAGCTTGTGTTAACCACAGACCTTACGTCAGGCATCTAACCAAAAATCCATTCAAAAAACACACTGACCTTGTGACGAGAGAACAGGGAGTGCCAGAATGCTAACTCATTTCTGCATTTTACGACTCATTCATGTACCACTCTATTTTGATGTACAATGGAATGATTATGATCCTCTGGTGGTTTGTGTTTCATTACATTAAAATGCCTAAGAGGTAGCTTGTGTAGTGTTTTTAAACAGTTTCCAGTGTGACCTCAGCATAGCTTAAAACATCACATTTAAATAAGTTAAGCAGCAACATGTCTTCCCAGAACGTAATCTAGCTGGTAATCTAATGGTTAACCACAACGTCAGTTGTTTGATTCCTGCTTGGGTACCTTTGTTGCATGTCGCACCCTTCTCTCACCATTCCTCCTTCCCTCCGAGGGCTCAACCAGTTAAACCAGTTTTGATTTTGTGTTAAAGGGTAACTCTCATTGACTGTATCGGCATTGTGTCCTAGGTAGAGAGGTGAGACGGACAAGGGTCGATTTCAGTGTGAGTGGCACACGGAACAAATTATGTGATTGGTTGCAGATGGGGGAGCACAATTGTGATATGTTGCCACAGCCCGGAAACAAACATGGTTGTTTCAACAACGTGGAGATGTGGCAAGACTTTGAACTGCACTGGCTGTCTGTGTTTCACATAGTGTATGGGAACATCATGAGAGAAGCATCCAGTGACACAGAAACAGGTCACAAACAAATTGAAGGCACTGAAGAAGCAGTACACCTGAAGTAATCATAATATTACAGGCCACACCAGTTAACTGTGTACATTGTTTTGTCAAACTAATACACTGTACAATGAGGAATTAAGTACTGAAAGTTCTGAATATGACGTGTAAACCCTACACTCATTTCCAGCTTGTGGGGTAACTGGTATGCATTGCTCCTGAGTTGCGACGCAGGTCACATCTTAATTGTCAGGATTAGGCTCACTTAGACTTAGGGTTTATTGTCCCCAAGGGGAAATTATTTTTCCCAGCACTGTTCCTTATCAGACAACAGCAAATACACAGCACACAGTAACATCATGGACCACATTATACATACTCTACAACAGCACAGCACACATTAACATATTAGACAACATCACAGTAACAACACAGACTCAGGCCTGTTATCAAGCTCTGGTATTATCATTATATCAGTGGCATAAAACTCACTTCAAATGATAATAATATTATCAGTTGAAATTATTTCTGGGGCAAAATATCATCCACCAAAAGTAGTTATTGTTACAGACTGAGATGGGAAAGATTCACGTTTCCTTTCTCTCTGTTCTGGCTGTCAAAATGCAACCAAAAAAAGGAATTAGAAAAACCCTTTTGACTGTGTGGTCTGGATTACGCAGATGAACGGGTAGTGTTTCTTGAAAGATGAGTTTTTCAAATGTTTTTTCCACTTGCTGCAAGAATCACATTGATCTTCATTATGTCAGGGCAAAAGTAGAAATGTCTCGCAAATATTTCCAGACAAAACCAAATGATTTGCATAGATGGAACTAGCAGTAAGTGACAAAATATGTTTCTTTTGTTGTTGGAAAAAGACAAAAATGTGACCGATTGTGACTTGCCTTTGTGTTGCAGTTCTTGGCGGTGGACACGCAGCTGCTGCTGGGCAACAAGGAACTGGCCCTGAGTCCAGAAGAATACATCTTTGGTGCTCTCAACCTGTACATGGACATCATCAACATCTTCCTCTATATTCTTGCCATTGTTGGAAGAGCGAGGGGGAGCTGAGCAGGAGGAACAACAGAAATAAATTCTGAAGGAAAATTACTTTGAGTTCACGTCTAGAAGTCACTTTTATTTCGTCTTGTAGTGCGCATTAATCATAGCTTGAGGATAATTTGCTTCACCCTGTGTAAATGTGATTTTTTTGATAATATATATAGATAGTCTATGTTGTAGTTTGGGGGTTTATGAAAGTTTTATGAGGTATATGACGTGTTGTACAGAACTTAATTTTGATTTAGAAAGTTAAACAAAATCAAAACTGTATAAACATTTGACACTAGCTTTTTTTCCCTGGGCTTTCAACTGTATCACAGTCTTCATCAGCAAAAGGAGTTTGATCAGTTGTCATGGAGATAAAAGTGTTGACATCTTGTTGTGTGGTTATTTCCAAGGTCAAGATTGAATATAACCGACAAGCTAGTGAGGATGAGAAGGTGCAGGGAAGAAATCATTCCTTCTGCACATCCATCACCATGACAACTGAGTAAACTACATCAGTTGGTGAATACTGTGATGTGATTGAAAGCCCTAATTGAAGCTAGTAAGCAGACCTTGTTTTTGTTTTGTTTGTTTTTTGTCAAACCACTATTTCCAAGGTGAAAAATAACCTTTACTGCTGTATAAAGTTTTTTTTAAACCTGATCTCTGTCATTTGTATGAAGTGAACACCATAGCAACCGTGTTCCGTTATGATCTGATCTGCTGTTGTGTCAGCCTCCACAAAGTTTTGGGTGTCTGTGGCTCAGCTGTGTAACTGGGAGCCCCAAAATGGATCGGGAGCACACCGTTGTCGCCTTGCTGTCACGAAATGAACAACTCGTGCAGGAAAATGATGTGTTGAAGTCGGTGCTAGATGTAGTCAAGGAAAACAGAGACCTGAGAGTGAAGATGCAACGGCCCGACAACAGCGCTCGTGAGGAATTAGCAGGTATTGTGGTTGTTTTTATCTGCCACTAGATGGCAGCAGCGTTGTCAGGGCGGTAGCAAAAGAATTAAGATATAATTAAGCAATATCACACGAGAGGGAGTGATGTACTGTGATATCGTCACGGCTGTGATTCGGTCGTAGGCACGAGACCGCAGGCCGAGTTCAACAGTTAAATAAGCAAGGCTGATTAAGAAATGTTGAAAAATGAGGACAAAATAGATAATTTAAGCATTTTATTTGTCTTCCGCCAACAAAAATAGTTCCCTCAGGACTCCGCTGTCGCCGTTGCTATGTAACGCAGACATGGTGCGCCAGGCACTTACTCTTTATACACATTTATCTGCACGTTTCCATTAATTGTGCAGCCGGTGAAATAAGTCTCTGGTGACTGCATGGTGGACTGTCGCTTCACAGGCACAGCCGACTCTGCCTTCTGATCTGACAGTATGTTGCTTTTCTTCAAGTCATTGAGCTCCGCTGATGAAACACTGACAAACCTGGATGTGTGCTCAGATGGATTCAGCTTCTCCTCTCCCTCATCTTCCTCTGATGACCTTTTATAGTTCCATTAAAAACTTATTTTAGGAAATAAATCCATATTTTTGGCTGTTTGACAGTGGATAAATTAATTAGCCTACAACGCAACTGCTGACCTAACTGACACTAAGCGTCAGTTTTGATTTGATTGTTGATTGCAATCAGCTGTGAGGCGGAGTGATACATACACAGTGAAATAACCGTGATGTTGTACTCCAATATCGTCACAGTTTTACTGTCTCTCGACCAATCAGATTGCAGGGCCGGAACTAACTGTTGTATAATTAAACTTAAAACAGGGACTTAAAATTGGGAGTTAAACCAGTGAAATGTTTGCATTGTAACATGTTACGGTATAATGTGTTATTTCAGGTTTCAGACAGGCATTTTTCAAATATGAAACTGAAAATGTGTTTCCTTGCTATACAATTAGAAATGTTTTTGACAATATATTCTTATTTTACAAGATGAAATCACTTTTTTGAATTTTTATATATTTTCTTATTGGTAGTGGATTTTAAAGTATCTTCATAATGACAAAATTCAAACCACAAAGTAGAACAGGAATACAAATAATTTCCATCTTTGTAAAACTTAAGGGTAATTCACAATTATGTAATGAATGTACTGGTGATTCTGCTGTCAGTAAATCTTCCAATCATCTTGGTCTGTGAAGGATTTCAAAATTAAATTCTTTACTTTGGTTGGTTATACAGAATTTAAGTTGTGTAAAAACATGGTATTTTTTATATCAATGCCATGCTGAGCATTGCAACAGCTACCTCTCTGGCTGTACCATCATCAAGAGGGCCTCTTATTTTCTTAACACACTGGCATTGCCTTCTTGTATGTTCTGATTGTCACTCACTTTGTCATGTATCTTTATCAGTAAAACAGACCAAAAATAATTTCATCATGAGTATGAGTTTCAAATTGCTACATACAGTTTATTTAAATTATTAAAAGTAACAAAAGGACAAACAAAAAGAGATCAGACTAGAAGACATTAATCACAGAAATATACAATAAAATAAATGAAGGGACATTTGAGTTTTCAAGTAAAATTAGGTTAAGCCTTCTGATAAATGTATTTGTTAAGAACCGATTTAAATGATAGAATAATTCACTTGTAATGACTTTAATAATTTGCCCTCAGGAAAACGTCCATTCAGTCTGTGGCACGACACCCTCACCGAGAGACAATTCAAAAAAGACTTGCAACAAACCACGGTCAGACACAAACAGCGGACCTCATCACCTGTCGACTTCAAGTCTTTCATCCAAAACTCAGTGCACATAGATGAGGGTGCAGAGTCTCAAAGTTGCCAGGCGGACCCAGCTCATGAGGTCAAAGGTCAGTGATGCCTGACATGCAGAAACTTTAGAGCAGTAACAGCACTGTTGCCAAAAAGAAACTTTAATTCAATTGTTTCATGGCAGGTCCAGATAGGCTGCTGGGAGAGATTGCCTTCCAGCTGGACAGAAGGATCCTGTTCTATATTTTCCAGGGCCAGAGGAGACTGTACGGCTTCACACTGCTCAACATCCCGTCTAAGATCATAGAGGTTAGAAAGAAAGATTTTTCTCTCAACAAACTGGTTGTGTGACTTCGCAGTGCACAAGAAATCTACCATGACTTCTACCATTATCAGTTAATGTACAAATATAGTATGGACCATAACATCCTGCTTCCTCAGAAGGAAGTCACAAGCTTTTCCTCCTTTCTTGCAGGTGAGCACCCATCCACTGACAGGGAAGGTAGATGAAGGCTATCGGCTTCATCTCACTCAGAGGCATGTTGACCTCATGGAGAGGTTGAACCAGCTCGGGTACAAACCGACACTTCATCCTCCTTTCATTGAGTTGATTGTCAACACCTACGGGATCCTGAATGAGAGGCCTTTCCAGTACAGCACCCAGGCAACCAACTACAATAATCCAGACTTTTTGAGGACGCTGATAGAGACCACAGCGCCGACAAAACTTCAGAAGGACCTGCTGCTTGTGCTCGACTGCCTCTGCAACATGGCCAAGATGGATGGAAAGCCTCTCCTTCTCTGGTAGACACGAGCGTATCCAAGGACCAGTGATGCTTAAGCTGCCCACAAACTGGAAATAAAGAGCGATGAATAATACAGCATGATAAATGTTGTGTTTCTATGATTTACTGCACTCATTTTATAGATGGTAAAGCCAAAATACATTTGCTTATTTATATACACTTTGCAAATATGCATGATGAGACTGAACAGCCAGTTTTATTGAAGCCACAAAGACATGAAGTATTCAGTCACTCTTAAACTGATTTAATGTTCAAACAAAAAGGACATCATGTCAAAGGACATCTTAGAGTGGTTTGTTATTTCAACCAATATTCAATAATACACTGTGGCAGTATTGGTACTGTCTAGTATTCATATCAGCCTGTGAAAGATTGATGCCTGCTAAGCATAAAGGGCGTAGTGGACTGTATTCACCAAGCCATGGATCATGAGATAAGTGAGTTTGTCACGCCTAATAATCAAACTGCATTGCCATATTGTTTCAGTTCATGTGGGCGGCAATTCAGACATCTGGAACCAGGCTGTTATGGACATCCATTTAGTCAAATTGCTTTTTAATTGAGATGAGTCGAGGGTTGGAGTAATATCACTTGGGGGACTAAAAGCTACCATCAGGAGTTGGTTAAGGGCCTTCCCGCTCTCTCACTCTAATATCTCATTGTTCTGGCAGGTGATGTAGTGCTTATTACTCATTTATTTATCAGCAGTAACATTACTGTAGGCTACACATGCTGGAACATACTGTGGGGTAAAAAAAATCCTTCCTCAGGCCAGCTGCATTAGATTTTTTACTCACACTGGTTGTGTTTCTAATAAAGATGATACAGTTAGTCAGAGTTTAGTGTGAAAAAGGGTTTACTGTGAGTCTTCAAAGATTACATACAAAACTGAGCTGATCCCAGGAGCAGACTGTCTAAGTATTGCATTCATCATTTATGCTCCTCTCATTCCTCTCCCATCGTGAGCCCAGCTGAAAAAGCTCTTCTACCCTTATGCTCTCTGATTTATTTTCCCTCCTCTTGCCACCATTGTTTCTTCATATTCTGTGTACCAGCCTGTTCCTGATACCGTTGTTACTCATCTTTGTAACATCATGACATCACCCGAATACAGATGGGAAATGCATACACCATCATCTTTTAGCTCACATCTAGGGTAACAATCAGGTACATGATTACTCAAAATTAGTAAATATATCCACAATAGCTTGCTACACAGTGTACTTTATGCACATGTTGCCTGTTGGTTAATACTTAACTTACAGGTTATTGGCAAGGAATCAGTGGTGAAGGTTGTATTCAGTTCCTTTGTTTAAGTAAAAGTACTGATATCACACTGTGAAAATACTCTGTTACAAGTAAAAGTCCTGCATTTAAAGTGTTACTTCAGTAAAAGTTAAAAAATAAACTCTAAACTCAAGAACTCATAAACTCAAAATTCTTTAAAAAAAAAAGAAAGAAGAAGATATAGTTGTCAAGGCAATAGCTGCCAATTAATTTTCTGTCAGTTGCCTTATTTATTAATCGACTAATTGTTTCAGTTTACAGGCTATTGGCAGGTTATTGGAAAGAAATCAGTGATGAAGGAGGTATTCAGTTCCTTTGCCATGTAAGTACTGATACCACACTGTGAAATACTCTGTTTCAAGTAAAAGTCCTGTATTGAAAATGTTACTTATGTAAATGTAAGTATCTTAAATCAGGAAAATGTGATTAAGCATTAATAGTAAAAGTATCCAATTCATAAAATAAAATAAAATAAAATAAAATAAAATAAAATAAAATAAAATTAAATTAAAACACCTCCAAAACTCTAAATTATTAAAAAAAAAGGATTTAGTTGTCAAGGAAACAGTTGCCAGTAATTTTCTGTCAGCTGTTAAACTCATGACAAAACTTATTTTAGAAACTCTTATGTTTTATGCAAAATCCTAATTTATAAAGTAACTTGCAACTAAATATTGATTGATTGATTATTTTTATTTACGTGTCATGCACAAAGTGCCCAACCCTCATGGGTTTATAAGACACCAAAAAAGTACAGTTCCAGTGTACATTATTATTATTATTATTTTTTTCCATTTCATACATAATTACAGCCCCTTTTACGGCTCAGACTTTAAACAGAATATTCTGCCTTCTCTCCCAAGCTTTACAATAAAATCAGCAACAAAAAAGATTCCCTTTCTAAAACACAACTCAAGTTTCTCATACTCATCCAGCCAAAAGAAATCAGCATAAACAGAGGACATTTTAATAAAAAGTACATCCCTCAAGTCCTCATAAACAAGACAGTAAAACAGAAAATGGACCTCACTCTCAATTTCACCGAGCTCACACACCTGACAAAGTCTGTCCTCCTCTGGAATGTCATTAAACCTGCCTGTCTCTATAGCCAAGGGTAATGTTCCTGAACGTAACTGTGCACATAATGATCTTTGTCTTTTGTTTAAATTATACTTCACATACATTTCAACATCATAACAGTTTTTTATGAGACGGTAAGTTCGTAATTTTGGTTTATACCATGTATCGACAGACCACTTTTCCTTATACTTGAGAAACATATTATTCTTTAACTCCTGAATATTACAAAGTAACCTGTTATGAAAGATAAATGAAAAATCATTCAAATTAAATAAGGATTTCATCTCGTTAGCCCAGGGATGACCATGTAAAATGTCCCAGATAAAAATCTTTTTAAATATTTCAGCTACATGTAGCCTAGTGGATTAAAAAGTACATTATTCCCCACTGACATGTAATGGAGTAAAAGTAAAAAGTGGCATGAAAAAAAGAGACTCAAGTAAAGTACAAGTACCTCAAATTTGTACTTAAATATAGATCTTGTATAAATATACTTAGTTGCATTTCTCCACTGCAGAAAATTAAGAACATTTTTGCTAAAACAAGCAAAAAAAAGGTGAAAATGTATTTTGCTTGCAGCTGTGTTGATGTTGAAGGTCACAGGCTGACTGTAGTCATATTTAGCAGGGTACATTATGAATGAAAAGGACTAAAATTGTTCTGTTTTCTCATCTTAAAACAGATCATTGTTTTTCATTATTGTGTCCTATGTCATATGACTGTCTTGTACTGTTCTGTTTTCTATTTGTTTTGTGACTGTTTGGGACCCCCTTGAAAACGAGATGATTCATTTCAATAGGTTTATCTTAATATAATAAATGTCTATACTCCCTTGGTTTTAATATCCACCCTTCTCAACAGTGGGTCAAATTTTAATGCCCTGCAACAAGTCTCCTCAGGTAAGGTCACGTGCCAGCTGGGCCGGGCACCATGACAACGCCATTAGGGTGTGGCTTAATAAAGCCAGTGTGATGACCGCACAGATGAACCGCCGAGAGCAGAGCGGCAGAGTGGGGTGATGTTCAAGGGAACTACTTTACTGAATTGATTATGCGTGTTAAGGATAGAGACTGATAAGTTCCCTTGAACATGTGACAACCTCATGAATAAATCAATGTAATACAACAGACAAACCAGTCGGCTGCTCGTCGCATGGGTTCGCCAGACGGACTGTCCCAGTTTTCGGGCTAAGGTAAGACCATCTGTGCTGCTGCCACGTTAGCCGAGGAGCTAGCTACGTAACAGGACAGGTGACAGTTTGTATTTGCGATATCTAAAATGCACTTAGACTGTATAAAGCGTGTATTAAGTGTGAGACCTGAATAGCCAAGCGCTACAAAGATACAGCAACGTTGTGTGGTTGTGAACACCGGCGTTTATGTAGTTTTGAAAGTGTTTCTGAGCGGTTTAATAAGTGAAACTATTAGCTTAGCATGTTACCTGCACACTAGGAACCATGACGGAGACCCACCTAACCAACCTGTATGAGTGTCCACTGACCAGGTGCATAGGCACAGAAAGCTCGCATCCCTTCACAGTACAACACTAAAAGTTATGGTAGCCTTCTTTGAATGGGATGTTTTTTGTGTGTTTAATCGGGGTATAGGGGGGGTTGCAACTTCCTGGTTGTGTCTGTTGTATGTTTTTTCCAGTTATACCTCAGGAGCCAGAGACCAAAGTTTGCAATGGGAGTGAACGCTTGATTGCAACATACCAATGTTTTAAAGGGCAAACCCACCTTTTAATAGTGTTTACATTAAGATCTGATCTCTCAGTGTAACATGTAGAGCAGGCTTGTCAAACTCATTTTAGCTCATGGGCCACAAATTGTTCAATTTGAACTAAAGATGGCTGTACCAATGAAACCATAGATAATAACCTATTAATAACAACACCTAAACTTTCTCTTTCTGTCAGTTTAAAGAACTACCAGTAGATTCTGAAAACGTGCATCCATTTACAAAATACATGATGCACAGCCTGATATTTGTTAGGCAAAATGAGTTCAGTTTCAGCAACATGTCTTAGTCATTCCACGTTCAGTCAGTCTACTACTCACTGTTATCGCATGTGCATATTTCCACATTTCCACTCCTGTGTAGTAACACTGATGTCAGCAAATTATGCCAAACTAAAATGGGAGCTATTGAAGCAGCAGGTTAAGTCTGATAAAGATTCTTTTGTACTGAAGCTGCCGATTGACAATATTCTGTGCAGTAATCAGGATCTTTAGATATGACCTCAAATACGTGTTGCTATTTCAGAGCACTGTATCCTGGTCACAGTGGGAAAACCCTTTAGAACAGCATTTTACAGGAAGTAGGATACTTAGTGTTTAACTTGCTCCTGGAACACCTCGTAGTCTTGTGACGTGCATCAATATTAGATGTGCAAAGTCATCCAGTGGGCTGGATTGGACCCTTTGGTGGGCCGGTTCTGGCCTGTGGGCTGTATGTTGGACACCCTGGAAGAGTATCCATACTCTTTGAACTGATGTCATTGTATCAAACGTTTTAAAATTAGTACAAAATTAGAGAAAATATCTGTGTAAGGTTTTTACATTGACACACCCAATGACTTTTGACTGTATAACCAATCTGTAAATACACACAAAGGTGTGGTGTTGGGCTCATATCGCCAGTGGCTAGTGGCAGCAGATGGTGACAGCTGGATTATAGGCGGTTTACACCATGATTTTCTCTCTGCCTCCTCAAATGTGATCATGATGCATTACATAAGCATGCAGTAAGCCAGCCTGGTCTTTCCTCTGAATCTGACTGTATTGCATTCATGACAGTGCTGCTGTTGGTTGCTACATGTTTTCCACATCGGCATGTTCAAACATGAAGTCAGTGTGAGAATGGCAGCCAATTATTCCTGAGAATCCACATGTAAATGTTTATACAGGATATAAGAATAGAACCATGTCATAACATTTTGATTTCTGTCTCCTGTCTTAGTGTGCAGTGGGGCCTGTGAGAGACTGCACTGGAATGAGGCCAGAAAGGGAATCTGGCTAAAACGGGAAGTCTTGATGTTACTCATCCTGAGTGTTGCTTAGAAAAGGGGCAGAGGCATGGCCCTGGAGGCGTCTCCATTTCCTAATGGGTGTGTTGCAGGCATCCATGCTGTGGGATGGGCATTCATCTTGCCTTGCTTCTGGTTTCTTGATCGCCTCATTGCTGTGTGCAAGTCCACCACACTGGAGCAAACCCAGCGACTGGAGCAGGAATGCTACCTCCACCCCCTCAAGGTCTTCTTCGGCGCCATTATCTTCTTCATTCTTTTTCTCGCCACAGCCCCCTTGGCCTTCCTGGGATTTATACTCTGGGCACCTCTTCAGGCCTGCCGCAGGCCCTTTCACTACCACAGAGAGACACCATCCTCATCAGAGAAGGAGACACACAGGGGCTTTGAACTGTCAGGAAAGGCGTCATTTGGCTTTGCAACAGCCAACCTGTGTCTGTTGCCTGACAGCCTGGCTCGTTTCAACAACCTGGGGCACACCCAGCGCAGGGCAACCACCATTGGTCAGCACATTGTGCAGGGTGTGTGTCGACCCCATATCCGCATCTTTGTTGACTCCCCCAGCAGCTGTGGGACTCTCAGCCCCTCCAACAGCATACTCCCCGCAGTTAACTCATCTACATATGGGGCTACAGACAGACAAGCACAGCCCCCAGTGAGTCATCATTCCGATTCAGCTGACGTACATGTGTCAGTCCAAAAGTCCAATAGTCACGTGGTCTCTGTGCCCTGTGATGATACAGAAGAGCCCTCAACTGACTTACATTCTCCCCTTTTCAATTCCAATCAGAACTCCAACCAGCGGGGCCGAGCAGGTCACCGGAGTGCTCCCCGAGCTTTGCTTTCCCAGGGTCTCCGCCAGCAGGATGACGTGCCCTGGGAAGTGTCGTCACTTTTTCCAGCCAATGTGGACATACTATGCCTTGAAGAGGTGTTTGATAAGAGGGCGGCACAGAAACTCACCCAAGCACTTAGACCTGTATTTGGACACATATTGTATGATATTGGTGTGTATGCCTGCCAGCCACCATGCGGATGCTCCTCTTTCAAGTTCTTCAACAGTGGAATGTTCCTAGCCAGCCGATTTCCTCTGCTCGAGGCTCAGTACCACTGCTTTCCCAACAGCCGCGGGGAAGACGCACTGGCTGCTAAAGGCCTCCTTTCTGCTAAGGTACCTTGCTTAACATCTTGTATTAAGCCATTATCATTGGTGCGGTTGTCCTTTTTGTGTTGTGCAATTCATTACTAATACTTTTGTCACAGTATGAACACAGTGATAGATATAATGTCTGGTTTTTTTAATGTTCAGGTGCTCATCGGGCAGAATCAGAAACAGAAGAACGTGGTTGGCTATTTTAACTGCACACATCTTCATGCACCAGAAGGCAAGTCAAATTTTCTGGTTGGGTCTGCTCAGGCTAGGGTTGTCAAAAGTATCGATACTCTGAAAAGTATTGATACTCAAACGCTGTATCCGGATACAATACTAATTTACAAAAGTATCAATACTAACAGTGCACGCCACCTCAGCGCCTGTCGGGTGTGCGTGACGGGTCCAACGGACGCGCTGTGCAGGCAGCGTTTGGCAGGCACAGAGCCCTCGCTGCAACCCGGCTTGTTGTCTTCGCTGTGCATGCATGCACACATTTTTGTTGCTTTAATATGGCCAGCGTGGCTGCTGGAGGATCAGAGCAGCCAGTTTTGGTCAAAAATGATAAAGGAAAAAGCGCTCTTTGGAAATATTTAGTGAAGTTAACACAGCACACTGCAGACGGCAGCTGAGCAGCTGGTGTCGCCAGCATCAAACTAAAATATAACTTCTAATGTTAATGTGGGAGCTAAGCAGAAAACTTTATCAGTCATGCCCGTCTGTAACATTAATAGACAATGTTAGTTTAACAGGACAACACAATTATGTGTGTCTGAAAAGTTATGTTAACTGTAAAGTCACAGATTGAAGCTGAAAAAATGTTTGGTTTCTCCCGTAACCCCTGGTTCTCTGATCACATAGTGAGGTAGAAACAGGAGCATCCTGAGCCTAAACTACAAACTCTATTTGATCAGCAACGAAAATATGGTGCCAGTTCACCAGAAGCACAGAAAATAAACAGGGCTGTAGATAAATACATTTGTATGGCCAGATTTTGTTTCTGGTTGTTATTTATTTTGGGGGGATTTTTTGTTGTTATCATTGATGTTACTGTTCTGAACTATATTTAAAAAATTACATGCCTCTTCGTTTTTTGCTGCTGTATCAAAAATGGTATCGGGTATTGAATATTTTCCTGGGTATCGATACCGGGTTTGAAATTTTAGTATCGTGACAACCCTAGCTCAGGATAACTCAAACTTTGGCCTTTTTATTTTGGATAAAGATAGGCTAGGTCTGTGATAACTGGTCTGTGTTTTCTTTAATCAGGTGAAGGGGAAATTCGCTGTGAGCAGTTGAACATGATTACCAAGTGGATCGGCGATTTTCAAGCTGCCAACAAACTGCCTGACGAGGATGTTGCTTTTGATGTGCTCTGTGGAGACTTCAACTTTGACAACTGCTCGCCTGGTGTGTTTCTGACAATTTTCCATTATTTTGTTATATTAATTTTTGCTAAAAAGTCTTTACTTAAAAGTTTTTATGTATTAATATGTTTCTTTCTTTATTTTTTTTTTGGCTAGATGACAACCTGGAACAGAATCACTGTCTGTTTGAGGAATACAGAGATCCTTGCAGGGCAGGGCCTGGAAAAGACAAGCCCTGGGTCATTGGTGCGTGCCATTTTAAAACCAGTAGACCACAGTAAATATTGCATACACACAAGACAAATAATGACAATTAATAGAATATTTTATCGGTTTACATCTAAAGGTACTCTTCTGGAGCAGCCCACGTTGTATGAAGATGACATAAACACCCCAGAAAATCTACAAAGGTACACCAAGTCTCACCTTCCTAAGACTGTGTAGCACAGCACTGCTAATGTGACCTGACCAGGCTCCTCACTCACTGTTTTTTCAATGAAGCTGACAATCCCCTCTGTCTTCTTTGTGTATCTGTATAGGACTTTGGAGAGAGAGGAACTAAGAAAGCGGTACATCTCCCCTCCTGTTCCCGCAGAGGGCTCCCCATTGGTTTACCCTGAGGCCGGCCAGCCGTGGATTGGACGTCGGATTGACTACATCCTGTACCGTGAAAACTCCATTTCAAAGCACTTCCGGACAGTATGTGACCCTGTGTGTTTTTACTCTTTCCTCTTCTCCAGTGCTTCTGTCTCCTTGAAGTACCAATTCACTTTTAGATGCCACAAATAAATCATGAAACAATACAGACAGTGCTTACAGAAAATGCCTTCAAACAACAAGTTAGCCTCCATTAAGAAGCATAAAGCAACATAAACACTTTGTCTCCACTCTTGTGCTCTCTTTGTCTCCATCCAGGAAATCGAAGAGGTTACCTTTATCACCCAGCTGGCTGGCCTTACGGACCATATTCCTGTGGGCTTGAGACTGAATATAACTATGGACTGTGAGAGTGGGGATCAGTGACGACTACAGTGAACACAGCATTGTGTACAAAGGGAACAAAATGGACATTGCTCTGATTTATCTATCTCGGGGCACAACAATGTTTTATTGACATACATGAATTTGTGATTTCTACGACAATGTACTGACCAATTAGATTATACCTCAGGTGGAATTAATATGGATTTATTGAAATTTTATGACGTTTTCACTTTTATACATTGGGCCACTCCATGGCCAAAGGTGTTGATTTTATAAAACAATATATTTTTAGGATTCTCAATTTTTTTCCTACAGAAATGTATGTAAAAAATAAATTTTATACCGTGTCTCTTGCTTTTAATTTGCCATAATTTATGAGCTGCATTTTTTGACTGCATGTTTAATACTGTGAGGTCAGTACTCTTTGTAATCGATGGGGGGTGATATTCATTCATGTCAGGCAAAGCACAAATACCAACGAAGAAGCCATGCGAGCCAATCACAAGCCAAGGACGAGAGAGCACTTCCTGTTTTTAGCTTTTTAGCATTTGGTGAACTCGTGGACTTACAGCTGTAGTACTGTTATGTTGTACAAGGTAAAATGAATATTCTCGGTCGCTGTAAGAAACTGGTTTCACCAGTTTATAAAAACAGAGTTTTACTGGAACAAACTGGTGTTTTTAGAAGCGTCTGCTCGGTGTCCGAAGCTCGGTGTGACGGTTTGTGTTTACCTCGACGGTTTACAGGAAACGTGTCGTCCTGTCAGCACTGGCATCATGTTTCCACCTGTCACTTAAACACAAAAAGATTTTATTCAGAGGTGTGTAGTGAAAGCAGTAATTCAAAGATGAGCGCTGGCGTGTTTGAAGAGGAGTCGCAGGAGCTAGACGGTGACCTCAGGGACAGCAGTGCCCCGAGACAAAGTAAGTAACGTTTGTGTAACGGTAAGAGAATGTTACAACGATAAGGCCTTAATAGTCCTAAAAATCTTAAATTTTAATCTACGAGGTCCTCAACATTTTATCTAATTCAATTTATCCAAAAATTTAAATTTAAATTTATTTTTGTGAGAATGAGTGAAGCCTTTTTATGTAAAAGTTCACATTTCCTATGTTACAAATCTTTAAAAAACTATAATACTGTCATTTTACTTCATAGTTGCACTCACCTGTTGGCAAAACGTAGATTGACTTAACTCACTCTAATAACCATATTCATACATAACACCTACCTCTGCACAAAACCACATACATAATGTTTGCCTGCAATGCTTAAATCAGTTGTTTGAAATTCTTTATTAGGAACAAGTACAAATATCTGTCCTAAATTTGGTTACAAGGTGTCTTGAAAAGCATGAAATTTAACTGTGTCATATTTGTAGACACCCTGTTCATAGATCAACTGATCGATACACCAAATACAGTTGTTTTTATCATTGAGTCATCTGAAGTAATTTTAAAAGGAAAAATGCAGAGATTTGATTTCTCAGTTTGATAAAAGGGGAGACGGGTTCATTTCTTCATCTTAGATTATAGTAAATTGAAAAAGAGCTTAAAAATTAATAAATGATTTGGTAAGTCACTTGACCTTATTGAATTAATCAACAAACGTTCTTTTAATCAATAATTTAAGTAAGTAATTTCCAAGAACCATATGTGATGGTAAACTGAATAATAATTTATTTTACACAAACAGTTGGACAAAACAAGATATTGTAACACATCACTTTGGGGTTTCGAAACTGTGTTGGGCATTTTCATTGGTTTCTTGCATTTTAATAGATAAAATGATTAATTACGTAATGGAAAAATATTGGCAGATCAATCTGTGATGAGAATAATAGTTTGTAGCAACCCTAAATTGAATAGCTTTAGATTTTAATTTCATTGAACAATGCAAAAAATGTCAGACATCAGCCTGGGCTCTGGGAAATTGTTATGATTGCAACTTTGATCATTTATATTATTGATTAATTGGTGTTTTTTTTCCCCAAAATAAATTGATTAATCATTTTGCCTGTAAAATGTCCAAAAATAGTGCATCAAATTTTCCCAGAGCCCAACGTTCTGTCTTCAAAAAGCTTGTTTTGTTATACTAAAAAAAATTAAGTGATTAATCATTTCATTTTGGAACTTTGACAGGCTTCTTCAAAACAATTAACCCAGTGGATAATGGAAAATTGTTAGTTGCAGCCCTAGTTACTGTAATGGATGAGGTCCCTTGGTTATCCTGCATTGCTTTACTAATTGTATGTGATAGTATTTCTCTGTTTTACCACCTACCATGCAATGAGTAAAAATATATAGACTGTAGCATTTACATGTTGTAATGTAAATGTTTCACCCTTTTTTTGTCCAGGATCTCCTGAGACGTTCAATCTGGATGTGCTGGTGTCTCTCCTTCGTCAGGAAAATGCGGTAGATATCTGTGTGATTAAAGTACCGGAGCAGATCAAATACACAGAGTACTTCATTGTTGTCAGCGGCATATCACCAAGACACCTCCGTGCAATGGCACTTTATGCCATCAAAACGGTAACTTGAATTCTTTTTCCCGTTGTCCTATGTTGATATGTGCAACCTGTTTGTTTTTATAAACTTATATGATTTGTTCTTCCTCCAGTACAAGTTCCTGAAGAAAGATAGAGCTCCAAATGTCAGGATTGAAGGAAAGGATGCAGAGGACTGGATGTGTATTGACTTTGGTATGTTAGAAATCCCATCTTCCAATGCCCAAACATAGACAGTTATATAGATATATAAACTGATGTTTGTTTATAGAGTTACCGGTGATGTTCACTTGCTGCTCCTCTCTGTCTCAGGGAATATGGTGGTCCACTTCATGCTACCAGAGCAGAGAGAACTGTATGAATTGGAGAAACTTTGGACTCTCCGCATGTATGATGAGCAGCTGAAGAGCATTCCCCCTGAGAAGCTACCAGAAGACTTCATATATGATGCTGAAGTCACAAAGTGACAAATCATCTAAGCTGTGCATGGACTTTACAACTTCTTTGTGACTTTGGACGCATCCTTTTCTATCCCTGTGAGTAGAAGCAAGAGATGTTTTTGGACAGAAATCCCATTTTTTTGTTTGGAATTGACAGAATTTAAGTGGGCTGCCCTCTCACACAATAGCGATACTGTAGGAATCACTAGTTTCATTATGATGCAGTAATATATCAATTCTTTGGACAACGACCCAATATTTCCTGATATTACAAAAGCCCTGTTTCCACCAAACACTTCTGGTATGGTACCTTTGGAACCAAAAGTAATTCTTCAGACATGGTACCTAGACCCTAGCGTTTCAACCACAAACCGTACTCTTAAATGTGGGCGAGGTTGTTGCGTCCAGCACTCACTGTATTTCCTCCTTTATCAGTCTGCACCTCAATATTTGTCCACAGAACGAGGTTGCACGCCACCATTTGTCTAACAAAATAGAACAGGCTGCAGTGAGAGTCTCCATGGTATATTAAAAATAGTGAGTTTGTGCAGCTCAGGGGTTTAGTGTTGCCTTAGGAACAACGGCTCTGCGATGCCTTTTTTTTTCCGAGTGAGGATTAGAATATATGCAGTTCACATAACCCGGTTGAAAGTAATATATATTGTTAAACACTTGAGGATCCACTTATTACTAAAAGTTTATGCCATCAAAGAGAGGATCAAAACTAAAGTAATGGTCAGCGTTGTCACAAATTTAAGGTGTACTGATGGGATCACATCATCACCTCATACACTGAGTAACATTACAACTAAACGTTCCACCTTAAAAGTTGCCAGCAGTCGGTCCAATGAATAAAGTTTTTTTTTCACAGTCTTCAGCTGCTGTGAGAGGCAGCAAAACATCCTTTCATTTTATAGTTACAGTTTACTAATATATGTAAGGCTCTCCATGGTTTGACTAGTGGTTACATGAGCTTCAAAACCAGCCACAACTCAGCCCTGAGCAGAGGGACCTTGTGCTATTGACCAATCAGCGGACTGCAGTGTTCACAGCTCCACCTTTTAGCACCGGATCTGTGTGCTAGGTACCCCAACAGAGGGTTGACCAAAAATGGGGACTGTTATGGAACGGTTCCATTGGTACCATCCACAAATTTCCACAGTGGAAATGGAAAAAAAAAGTGTACTGAACTGAACCGTACTGCTTGGTGGAAATGGGGCTAAAGTCTGCCACAATGCGATTTCGATTCAGTTCAGGGCCCTGCAATCCATACAAGACAATATCAGCAAATATCCTTGTTGAAGTACAAGTATTAATCCATCCTTGGGTGCTTGCCATTGTCTGCTTGGCCCCAGGCTGCTAGCACCGCTTGAATTTTTAGGTAGGAGGTTTGCTTGGACGGAAATGGTTACACAGACGTTCCTTGGGAATTTCTAAATAAAGGTGTTTCTTAAAGATGACAATATGTATTGATGTTTTCACTTTGCAATGATAATAATGTAATCGTTTAACATTGATATCGATACATTGATTCAATGTATTGTTATATCCCCAGGAATCACTGCCCCCCTTATATTGATTAATTGTACACATCTTTCTTTTTCATATTATTTGACCATCAGAGGGTATCAGGAGGTATTTGTAAAGTAACATTGCTTATTTGTGAATGATTTTTGAGCCTGCTGCTGAAAATGTGCACATCTTTAACATATTTTCAAGGTTAGAAATAAATTATTTTAATACCAGTCTTGATATTTTTTAATTAATCTCTAAATATTTCCCTGAATTGTTAGAGTACTCACGAATTTTACATAATTATTCAAGCTGAAAGTAGGTTAATCATGGCAAAGAATGGTTCCTGCTCTTTTTTGTTAGACCGACTGACCTAAAAATGTGGAGAAAAGGAATAACATCTCATGAAAAGGAAATAGTACCAGAGCTTCAAAGTTGTTATGAAACACATTACTACGTAAGTGCACTCTCACCTTCCCTCTATGTTTCCCATTCACTGAGCTGTTGTCTGCAAAGAGCTCATATTATAAACATTTTTGTCAAAGAATTGATTTTGTGGGGTCACCAAAACATCATTCTAGTTGGTGCTTTCAACCAAATCAAACAGGCTGATTGCTTCTCTGGGGAAAAGAGAAGTTGTTGGCCCAAATATTAGTCGTGACTTGCATTCCCTCAGCACTTACGTGTGCGCAAAGATTGCTCAGTGAATTGTTAACATGCAGGACGGTCGGTCAGAACTTGTGCAACTCAAAGAGCTTCTACAGTATGTAACTGTGTAGTCTTCGGCTAATAACTAGGATTAAGGATACCATGCGATGCTATTCATAAGAATGGAAAGTATGTATTGATGATTGCATCAGTGTCTATCATTACATCACACTGGAATACACTGACAAATTATCATTTGAAGGTAACACAGTTTTTATCAAGCAGACAAGAGCAGAACCAGAGCCTGAAGGTAGATCCAAACGCAGTCACAGAAGCACACATACACACACAAACACACACAAAACCCTCATAACTTCCTCGCAAGTGACCATTCCGTTTCATTGACTTGTTTTAAGTCATGCTGGATCAGAACATTAGCTAAATGTAAAAATGTAATGAAGCGGGAGATGCCTACACAGAGCTGGACGGGACTTGTTATTTGAATGTTTTTGTGCCTTGCGGTTGTGTTGCTCGTACTTGCGTGGTCTGAAAGTGAAGAATGACTCATTAGATGATAGTGAAACTCAACAGCTTCACATGAGAGAGCATCCAGCTTTACACCCATGAAGAACCCACTGAAATTCAGCTATTGTTGTTGATCAGTATTAAATATTTATAGTTTGACTAAAGACAGGCAGTCAAATTTAAATTTGGTAATGGTGGCACTCATGAGATTATACAAAACCAATTAATGCAATCCTTTAATGCAATTCAGTGTGTGACCTTATGTGTCACAAACTATTAAACCGACTGCGTTCTAGTGGATTAGCAAAATGACTCCAGAGGGAAAACTGAAACGAGTGAAAGAGAAAGATTGGTTTTGTGTTTGACTCAAAAGTTGCAACTGTGGCTAATGTTCTCATTAGCTGCACAGCCATTTTACCCGCTGTCGTGTAGCTGTTAATGGCCACGATGTTAATATATTCTATGATGGAGGAGATTAAAAGAGATTAGTTAGCTTTTGGAAACGGCAGTAGCAGAGCATCTATCTTGCATAGTAGATTTAATGTAAGGTACATCAGGTAGCACAGAATTGTTCACTTAATTCCATGTGTTAACATACAGTGTAAAGCTTATCATCTTAGATAATTCCCTCAGTGTGTATGCACGACAACCATATGTTACACAGAGAAACGAGCAAATTAAACAGAAGCTGCATTACTCCCTGGTATGCAATTGGCTGAGGATAAATCACTTATCTCAGCTTCAGTCTTCTGCTAAAAACCCATCTGCTCTCTGAGCTGTTAGGATTGTATTTGTGATATAAAAAAGTAAAAGAAGTGAATATTTAGGTTCTTTGATACGAGTCTGCAGGTGGGTTGGCACTTGGCTGCAGTGTTTGGCGCTCTCTCATTGGAGGGTCTACATGAGAAGTGTTACCAGAGAGCACATCAACTGTATCAGATATGGCACTTAAATGGCTCCCTATGCTTTACCCACCTGGCCCTCATTTGTCAGCAAGGAGCTGTGCCAGCTGATGTGACTTAAGTGTTTAAATCAGGCATTTATTATTGGCCTTTGTCTATACAGCACATCATTAGTACAGAAATGAAGGTGATAAATGCCAGTAACTATTGGGAAAATGACTAATAATACTGCATAGTGTTATATTAATTTTTCTACTCCTTAAAGGGACAGTTCACCCTAAAATCAAAAATACATATTTTCCCTCTTACTCTTACTGCTATTTATCGATCTAAATTGTTTAGGTGTTAGTTGCCAAGTGTTGGAGATATCGGCCGTAGAGATGTCTGCCTTCTCTCTAAATAATTGAACTGGATGGCACTTGGCTTTTGATGGCAAAAGCGCAATCAAAAAACAGCAATGTCTCTTTCCAGAAATCATGACCCAGTTACTCAAGATAATCCACAGACCTTATTGAGAGCAGTTTCATGGAGGAACTATTTTCTTCCCACTGAACTACACCTGCCAACTGTATCACTGCGCAGAAAGAGACGTGCATCTACTCATGGACTAAAGTCTTGCTCTTGTGACAGTGTGAGATGTAAACATTATGGCGTCTTCCTCAGCTGACCTGTGACACTAAAAGATGTAGAGATTAATGGCGTCCTCCTCAGATGAGCTGTAACATTAGCTAGCTAAGTGAGCTAGTCGTAGATGTATGCCTCCTTCTGCTCAATGATACGGTTGGTGGGTGTCGTTTGGTAAAATGAAAATAGTTCCCTACATGAAACTGCTCACAACAAGGTCCATGGATTATCTTGAGTAACACGTCATGATTTTGAGAGAGAGAGATATTGTGTTTGAGTTTTTCAATTGTCTTTTTGTTGGCACAACACATGCGTAGCGTCATCTAGTTCCATCATAGTCAAGACAAGGCAGACATTTCTATGGCTGATACTGATACCTCTCGACAGCTCATCATGTTCAAAGGAGTCACTACTGTGGAGGAATAGGAAAAATGGTATTCTCTGCTACCTATCCAATATATTTCAGTTTTGACTAATTGCTTCAAAACATCTGGAGAGTAAGATGATAAAAACCGAACTCTGGTTTTGGGGCATTTGAGTTGATAGATTTATATTGTCAACCATCAACAGGATAGCTTTGGTGGGATACCTTGATTTCTTCCCTCTACTTCAATCATTGTATTCAAATACCTGAATGAAATAATGTCATTATATTTGGTGTATAATGTGAGGCTGTGAGTTTTTAGTTCTTCTGAACATTTCCAGCGTTTGCCCTGCAATGGAGTTCTCATATGACTGTCATAGGAAACGACAGCACCAATCTACTGTCAAATTTCACCAGAGTGCTCTTCAAAGAAAATAGTAGCCATTAAAGTAATCTTACCATTTCGGGGCTGAAAGCTTTTTGTGCCCTCTATCAACGTGGAAGTGAAAATGTATAGTTTTGGGCGATTTACTGCCCCTTCCTGTATGATTTGGTGTGATTTGGAGCTGTGCTTCCTGGTTTGGCCAAGATGGTTTAGTTACTGTCTTAATACAACTGTGTGTCAGTGGGTGGTATTTTAAGGGGAGTTAAGAGTGTCACTGTTTTGCATTCATGTGCATACATACATACATTTTTCCTTCTGGTAACAACTGCTAACTTTTAAGAACATTTGACTGAATTACTTGTATGAGTTTTATACCAAGACCCTGCAGAAAAAGCCACATTTATCTCTGTGTGATAACAAGGAATGCATCAGCCTTTTCTTTTATTCCAACAGTTTTCAAACAGGATTATATATTTCAGATTATTTATGCATGATTAAATTAATGTGTCTTGATGCAGACCACCCTCTGCATTTCTCTATAAACTGAAACATCATCTTTCCAAACATATTTCAACTTAATGTGAAAACAACAGACCATCATTAGCCATTTGAAGTCACACATCATTGGTTTTATCGAGACGTGTCATGCTGGCTGTGAGTCTTAAGTGGACACTTGAAATTAATGGAGGCTTTTCTTCACTTTTTGCCACAACTTTTCCAACAAACTTCTTTTAGTGCAGAAGTGAAAATTGCTTTAATCAAGGCTACTCTTTTTCCCCTTAAATATTTAGGATATTCCTTGTGTACTTAATGTAGAAAAATGAATGGCCTCTTTGACTCTGATGAAGACACAGTGGTGTTGAAATGTTTGTTTGCACTGTTAAAGACTAAATTGATCAGTGTGCTCCAGTCCTTTCAACCCTCCTGGAAAGTCTTTGTTCTTGAGCTGAGAAGTGCTTGATGTAGCTACACGCTGTTGGATGTTGCATGGAATGATTAAGGATAGACTACATTTAGATGAAGATAACTACATTTCAAATTGATGGGAATTAATCAAGTGTCTAAATTCATTTCTTGCTGCATCATGTTGTAAAACACAAATTTATGATAATCCAGGAATAGTAGACTTGACTGCTGCAGTAAATTTGCAATACATATAATTACAATGTATTGACAAGAAACAACACATGTTCACCATCAAGTCAAATAATTAACATTTAAATGAATTTAATGTCGTGACAGGTACATGTTCTGGACTTTTAACAATAATGTTAACTGAGAATCTCCATGTGTTTCACTGCTGTGACATTCAGGGATTACTAAACTAATGAGGCAGTAGATATTTCTCAGGAGCACCCTAAAAGTGAATGAAATGACCCTCCCTCCCCATCTGACACACTGTATAAAATACAGGCAATGTTGAGAATCTGACAGAGGCTCCTTGGACGGCGAGAAACCCGGCTACAGCTGAATTTTCAAGTGTTGCTTAGTGATGTAAGCAATATTTTTTATTCATTTCTCACCTTTTAATTGAAAGGCACACTTTTTAATTTAATCTCAGTACATAATGTTGGATATGGCAGCTTTTATGGAGGAGTATCAATATCCAATATGGAGCTTCTACTTCTGATTCTGACATTGTTGAATTTTTTTTTATTTTTTTTTATCATGCATGTTGACTATTGATTTTCCCTGTGATCCAGGATTCGCTCCAGTGCTGTGATGTCGCTGAGTATTCTGGCTTTCTGCCTGCTGGCTTGTATTCACTCTGGCATAAATGCATATCCGGCCAAGCCTACCAGTCCCCGGGAAGGCGCACCACCTGAGGAGCTCGCCAAATATTACTCTGCTCTAAGACACTACATCAATCTTATTACAAGACAAAGGTTAGTTCTTCAATTTCTATGACAGTGTAGGTTCAGATGATTTTAAAAGTACATGCAAAGTACTGATATGTTGCTTGGCTCTTTTTATGCATAGGTATGGGAAAAGAGACACCCCAGATACTTTGTTTTCAGATGTGCTGGTGAGTGAGAGCAGAGAGAGTTTTCCAGGATCAAACTATGTCAGGTAAATTATCTCAAATGGTTGCTTTTAAAACATTTAAGGAAGTTTTTTATTTAATAATTTGTATCGTCTATGCCTGTTTTTTGCAATATAATGTATGATACAACATATAAACTGTGTGAGATGAGATACCAGTAAAGTACAAATTTCCATACAATGAATTGTCAATACAACAGCCATGCAATAAATAAAATAGTTTCATGTTAAGCTGCTAATGTTCAGTTTATGTTCAAATTGTGTCAAAGGGTTGATTTTTAAAATAGTAGTTAGTAGCTCTAATGGATTGTACTGACTATTATTAAGAGATGTTTTAACTACACTTTCTTCCTCTTGTATATGAACAGGAACAGGAAGACTCTTGCATAGGTTTTAGTGTTTGTCAAAAACACATTTTCTTACCTTGTGTTGTAGGTATGATGGGCTGCCACTGTGGTGATGCTGCTGCCGCTGTCATATCCAGGCTGACTTCACCACAAAGCTGCTGCCAAGCCTGTTAATGACATGAAATGAACTTGTACTGCATGGAATAAACATTGTGTAATGCAACTACTTTGGTCTATAATGTTGCCACTGCTACTCTGAAACATGCTATTGACATGTTGACCCATTGTTTCACTCAGGCTCATTTAGCTTGACAGATACCAAGTGGAGCCCTGCCTGTATACAGTGTGTGTCATTCTCTAATGGAGTAACAGTGCTCTCTACTGGTGAACGGGCATCTAAACATTTTGAGAAATGTTCAAGTGGGACAAATTTAAAGTCATTTATACTGCTACTTTTCTATTTAGGGTGAGTGAAATAGAAGTAACATTTAGTACACAAAAGCATTGCTTTAATTTGTCTAGTTATATCAAGAAAGCTGAGATGTACCTCCACCTTGCTTGAAAACAGATTAACAGTTTAATCCAATCAAGTGACCTGGATACATCAAAAGCAAATCACGTAATACCGAGAATTTGGTTAACTCTGTTATGACACCTGGTTCAACTACTGGCTATAATTATAGCAAGCTCTGGCTCTCTAGAAAAGCTACACTGCAGCTGAAGTAACAAATTTGGTGAATGGGATATTACTTGGTGCTTCATACTGATGGGTGGTACTAAGGAGATGATTTGTAGCCAGATGTGGGATGGTATAATCACAGGTGCCATTAATGGTAGCATGATCAGATATAGTATATCTTCCTCACGGGGTAAGTGTTTCCTCAAGGTTTGATTGTTAGATAGCAGTAGGCACTGATATGGTGAATGATGCCAGAGTGTGAAATGTTATGACTAGTACTCTGCTCCACTGATAATGAAAGGATTCAGTTATAATTTTCCATTTATTATGGCACAATTTCCTTTTTTAAAATTCAAAATTATAAATTTAAAGACTGTTATATGGACAAATTGGGCAAAGTAAAGGTCTGAACTGGATGTTTGAATTTATGATCACCAAATAGTTGTACTGAGCTGCCCCACTGCACAATATTGTAGTGAGTGTGTACAGTCTACAATAAAAAGCAGCCATTGGTTATGTCACATATATGCTTATGGGGCATTGTATTTAATGCAATTTAGTAATTGCAAATTTACCTCCACACACTTTCTCACCACTACCGGTATTTGCTGTCAGGTAATTTTGCAGTAAATTATATGAGTAGGCTGTGTAGGGTTCCAGTGAGCTAGATATACCTTGAACAGCATTGGATGTCATCAGCTCATCACAGTGTGTCTGGACGGGGTGCTGAGGGCAGGGGCGCAGGCAGGCACACTGGAAACGCACTATCAAGTTATATTGCGCAAGAGGTCTGCGAATTGGGAAACTGTAATGGAGGGGAGCGTGAAAGCGTGACTGGATGGTACTAAGTAAATCAGGTAACGTATCATTCATTCATTCATTTTACCAGACATTTAAGTAACGCTCTCATCATGGGACCCTTTAGTTTCTTGGCACTCGCGAGCAGCTAACGTTAGCTAGCCACGCTGAGCCGCATAATATAACGGTTAGCTAATGAGTGGACTTGCTGCTATCTCTACCGCAATGCTATTTCGTCGCAAGAGAACATTATTAATCAGAAATTTGCTGGTTCAGTTTTGCTGGCTTGTTCGTTCGTTTGTAGACACACAACGGTATTTGTCAGTCTGAAATAGACCCTAACGTTTAAGCGCACGCCAGTGTTTGCTAGCAGTAATTAGCATTGCTAACTTGTCCGCAGCTACAAACTAGCAACGGCTAGCACCAAGTTGGTCGCGCACTAAATTAGTGGAGTTAATGCCAGCGAGCAACTGACAGCATGAAACGTAGCTTGGGTTTATTCGTCCATGTCTAATAGGCTAATGTCTTGCTTCCGCGCTAACATTAGTATTTAGTTAATAATCGTTTTTAGCTAAGTTACCTCGCATTGGAAGTGGATACACGTGCCCAGTGCGCGTGTAGCTTGACAGCAAAATGAAGCTACTGCAGCCAACACGTTTCTCGAAGGCTGATTTTGGTTTAGCTCCACTGTCAGAACCCCAGAACTGATAGTTATGAACGCATCTGCCACCATGAGTACCTTGTGTTAACTTAATGTGGCTGATAAATAAGGTTTATAGGCTGAAACTAATGTGTGCTTCCTGGCTCAGATCAGCCCCATTCACAAACACTGGCTCCCATAAGACAACTGTGTTCAGAGTGGGTGGCTGTTCAGTAGTACAGCAAGCAAGCAAAATACTTTTCTGAGCTATCTGACCACTCAGTTTTCACAAATTCTAACACTCTGGTAGTATATGTCTCCTGTCTTCTCGCCCATATTTAACAATGTGTACTCTCTGCACTCAGCTTTCCTACCCAGTATGTATGTATGTATGTATGTATGTATGTATCTATCTATCTATCTATCTATCTATCTATCTATTTAGACTGGGGTCTGAACTAACTTATACCTTGACTGGTAGTTTATTGGATTTTAGAGACTGATATTGATACCGATATTTGGGATTTAAACAAATCTAACAATTTATTGTCTGATAGTATTTTATACTCATAAGAAAACAATCTTGATAAAGGTCTTGTAGTTGAATAAACAAGACTTTTAACAGTCGGAAAAATCCAGTTTTCATTTCTTGGCATGCCTGATTTATTGGTCTTGGTCTAATCTAAATATTCCCTCAAATACATGACCAAAAACACAAATACAGTTACTCAACAGACACCAGTCTAATTTGTACCAAATATTTATTTATGTGGGGAGAGCAAGACCTATCCATGGTGTTCAGTTTTTCAGTTTAGTCAAAATAATTGCTTATTGTGTTGTTTATGTATTTTGACATCAGTAGTACAGATGCATTGATAAAGTTAGTTTTGCATCTATAAACCTGTAGCTGTGGTCCTGTTTGCAGCTTGATGAGGATATTTGTAGCCTAAAATGTTGTATGTTTGTAGAGAGTACCTGACAAAACTTGTGCTTTATTTAATATTTAAGTGTTGAGACACAAATCGCTTAAAAACATGCTCCTGAACAGCTCCAGCAACTAGTACAATCTTCACAGTAAGTAGGCCACAAAATCCCATAAACTGAAATATTCTCTTTGTTAAAACTTTTGATCTTTTTGACTTCACAGAAAACAACTAATCATTCACAGTCTCATTCTTTTTGAGCTGAGCTTTATCTGACTTGGTGGTAGGAATGAGTCCTTTTAAACAGACTGTGGTCATGTGGTTAGCTTGGCCAATCACAACTGGCTGTATTACAATACTACTAAATGAACAGGAGAAGGCTGAGGCAACACTGGGGTAAAGAAGACCTTCCTTACCAGCATGAGATGTTTTTTAATCAGTATCTAGGAGGGTTTGTTGTCTTGGAGGGTTTATCAAATAACAGGAATAATGTGATTTCATCCTTTTTATCTCCTCAGACCAGAGAGTCCAGATGAGTGTTTTGTGAAAAACGTGGGGCTCCGTGTTGGGAGTACTGCACTAATGATTTGAACACAGTTTGTAGGTGAGTTTCTTGTTTCTTACTGGCTCTGGATGATTATCTGCCTTTTTAGTGTCTTGGTTACCATTGTGTGGATGCAGTACGATGTTGCATTTATGATGCAGTTTAAAGTTTACAGTTAAAAAGGATCTGGGGGTCTTCTTTCACCAACATAGTAATTTTGAATTGCATGTAAAGAAATTTGGTTTTCCTCAACTAGGAAACATTGCTAAGATCAAAGCTGTACTATCCTTTTAAGATCTGTTTTTGTCTTCTCTTGTTTTAATTGATGTAATTCACTGGTCGCCCCCCTGTTTTGCTTATCTTTGTCTCGATTCCAGTTGGTCCAAAATGCAGCCGCAAGACTTCTAACTAAAGCATGCATTTCAACATTGTTGGCCAATCAACAGAATGCAGGGTTCATTTAAAACATCTTTTAATTCCCTATAAAGCACTACATGGGCTGGCCCCACTTAAAATTTCTGAATTATTGTGTCCCCCTAGCCATAGGGAGATCACTGAGGTCTTCTGACCAAGGCCTTCTGGCTGTCACAAAACTGAGGCTTAAACCAGAGAGGACTATGCTTTTGCAGTAGTGGTCCCACCCTCTTGAATTGTCTTCCCTTAGTTACCAAAAAATGCAGTCAGTCGATAGTTTCAAGAGGCTGTTAAAAATGGATCTGTTTCATCAGCAATTTGTCCTGAAATGGGTGTTTGCCTTCTATGTACTTTTTATTGTTTGCACTGTACAGCCCCTTGTAACTCTGGTTTTGTGAGGCACCTTATGAATAAAGTTTACTTACTTACATAAATGGGGCCTATGCTCAAAAAGCTCATCTTTCTGTTTGTCCACCGACCCACCAGGGCATTGGTAGGGCTGTTTTTGCCTCACTCTGTTTGGAGATGGTGTTTGTACAGAGTCCCTAGGGGCCTCCCAGTGTGTGGCTGGCACAACCTTTAGCCAGAAGGACGTGAGACTCATCCTTTGTCATTCAATGGCCCCCTTTGTTATTCCTTAATGCGGAAGAGCTCTCTGTGCTAACCTGCGCATAAAACACCAACATGAACAAATGTTTTCTGTGTTATTTTGCATGTGATGCCTCCATACTGTGTCTGCATTTGTTCAGCAGCAACACATGTCATCTGAAATAATATCATGACATAGCTTGTGCAGTATGGTGATCTTAGCGTACAGTATACTGACTTGAGCTGGTTTCCCACCCTCTCCAGCCCACCAGTTGCTCTGGTTCCCGTAAGCAGGCAGTTGGGCGGCTTTTGACCGTGTTAGGAGAGCTTCACAGTCCCGAGCTGAGGAATATCAAATATGACTGTGGCCAATGCAAAGTCTGGCAAAGGTAAGCTGTCCAAGACAAAGTCCTAACTAATCTTTTGCACAAAAACTGTGGTACAACTCTGCTCAAAATTTTACAGTTCATTACCATTTGAATGGTACTGTGCCCACTGCCCAGAGATAGTTGCGTGGGTGCTGCTGCCTCTTGAACTTTCACATTTGTCCCTCTGTGACCTACAATAACTACACATAGCAGCATCAACATCAGCAAAAAATACATTTTTAAAACATAGTTTACTTGCAAAACAGCCAAATGTTTTGCCTGCCATAGTGACTTCATTTATTTCTGTATATTTCTATTTTCAGACTGTCTGAACAAAATGCAAATGGACTGCTTATTCTGCTAAAACAAAGCATGACAAATCCAATTTGTTGGAAAGATAATTATTGGGAACTACAGAAAGATTTTTATTATTCATTTTATTGATGTTCTAATCATTGAAATCATTAATTATGAATCTACCAGCTGCATTTGTCTGGATTTCGGGCTCCAGTTGCTTGCTGTGTGCACTCAGCCTCAACAAGGCAGATCTGTTAGTAGAACAATTCCTTTGTGACTTTGCGTGCTTGTTGCTGCTGCAGTGAAAATAAGGGATGTTCTTTGTGAATTGGCCCATTGATAGACTGTCCACTTATTGTTCTTGCCTTGTAAGCTCTTATTATAGTCACATTGTTTTGTTGTTTTTTTTCATCAGCGTTTTCATTGGTTCAGAATTTTAATTATTTTCATTATTACTGGCTTTCAGCTTTGTTTGTCACTAACATATCTGCCATTGCTCACAAAGCAGTAACTCTCACAGCTCAACAGAAGTACAAAGTGTGGTTCTTGGTATTCTGTTAGCCCAGCCTTTGATGTGTGTGTGTGGGGTTTTTTTTTTTCCTTCAGCAATGCAGCAGGTACTGGACAACCTGAAAGACATGCCATCAGGCCCAGGAGCCAAAGATATTGACCTCATCTTTCTCAAAGGCATCATGGAGAGCCCCATCGTCCGCTCCCTTGCCAAGGTAAAAAAAAAACACAAACGCACACACACAGTTGTAATCTCATTAGTCATCAAGCTCTTGGCTATAGTTTGGCAGAGGAGCAAATGTCACTGTGAGCCCAAGGAAATGAAGCGGGATGAGTGTCACATGTCACCACACGTCCAGGATGTGAACTGCCTCGTGGCAGTGTACCGTATGATTCTTAACAACATATTTCAACCAGCAAGACAAGGAGAATATGTTTATCTTTTTCTGGGCTGGAGGGAGAAATATTCAGGTTGACTTCTCTCTTTCTAAAACACACATCATTTTTGTGTGTGTACAGCATCCTGTGATGTGCTACCCCGTAACGTTTACTGATCTTGCAGCGTGCTCACTGTTTGGTATCACGGTTTGATAGTCTCCTGTGTCAAACTGTGCCTGTCATTAGACTAGAGAAACAAGCGTTGGATTTATGTGCAGTGTCGTGAAGGGGCACACTTCCTGTTGTTTTTACATATTCAAAGGAATGTAAAGCATCTGCTTAAACTTGAGTGGACAGAAAATGTTCCTATTTAACACCATTTATATCAGTTTTTTCCACATAGCAGAAAGAGGTTGATGGCACGAAGAACAAATGGCTTACATAACAGCAAAAAGTCTAATGCAGATTGAGGTCAGGAGGTTCACCTACCAAATCTATGAATAGAATGATGTCTTTAGAAAACCTGTCACCAAGGCAAGCTCTTGTCCTCATTTCTAACAAACTGCACTGCACTGCTGTCCTTGGAAGTTAATTTTTTTTTCCTGCTGTGTATGCCTATTTGTAGTTTGGTGTGTCAAATAGAACCATTGAATCTGGTCATATACCCTGTATGTTAAACTACTAATTTCCTATTTGTTTTCTGTGTTTCAATTTTATTCAAACAAGTGTTTAACTTCACAATAAAACTGAGACGTCTGTATAGTAGAAAGACGCAAATCTTTTGACATTAGTGCTGTATGACCAGAGAAAACAGAGGAAAGGGGCTGTCTCATTTGCTTTTGCTCATGAGGTAGTGGCCCACACCAGACCACTAATTGCCTCTGCTGGTGAGTGATGTAATGCAGACTTGTCAGTTTTGACACAGGAAACAATATGGCGGTTGGTTGATAACAAACACTCTCAAAAAGAAGTTAAACAGTAAGCTAAAATATGTTACAATGCAAGAAAAGAATCTTGGTTTATATTTTTTCAGCACTGCTTGGTTTTAGTTTTAGGTGGCATGGTGGAGCAGTGGTTAGCATTGTCGCCTCACAGCTAGAGGGTTCCTGGTTTGAACTCAGGGTGGGGGGTTTGAACCCCAGGGTGGGGTAGCCCCTCTGTGCGGAGTTAGCATGTTCTCTCCGTGCAAGTGTGGGTTTTCCCCGGGTACTCCGGCTTCCTCCCACAGTCCAAAGACATGCAAGTTATGCAAGTGAGTCTAAATTGTCCGTAGGTGTGAAATTGAGCTTGAATGGTTGTCTGTCTCTATGTTTCAGCCCTGTGATAGTCTGGTGACCTGTCCAGGGTGTACCCCACCTCTCACCCAGTGTCAGCTGGGATAGGTAGAAAATGAATGAATGCTTAGTTTTACTGTTTGATCTGTATTAAGTTTGAGTCAACGAGAGAAGGTTGGCTCTCTCTTGATCTGCCTTTGTACACTTTGTGTCTATAGTAAAGTTCATCTACATATACTATCCACATTGTTATGATACAGAGCTGGTTAAAAAATGTTAAGTTTCCCTTTAAGGGCCATTATTGGTTTGGACAAATGTTAGGAGAACTTGACATTTTAATGGTGATTTGAGATCCAGCGTGTGGACACAGCAACACTTAACTGTTACATCTGTTGAGGATTAAGCATATGATCTGATTTCCCAGTATGATAAACTAAGCCTATAGCAGACTGTATAACTCTTCTCAGTAGCACCAGCATAGCACAGTGTACAGTATCAGTATGAACATTAATACTGAAAAACAAAATTACCATGGAAGAATATCCTTTTTGTGCAACCTACTGCCGAGTGTTCATCCTCCCTCTTTCTCATTGGTCTGCCAAAACAGAACCAAAGTCCAGTGTGTGCTCAGTGTAGCTGGTGACGCAGTTCACAGTGAAATGCTTTTTTATTTTATCTCGCCAAATACTGTTCAGTTTCTCCAAAATGAATGAATTCTAGCCAGTGGGACAGCAGGCACTTTGGGATAAGGACACAAGCTTTACACGAAAGGAATAGGTGGGGAGGACAAACATGTCGTGTCATGACAAGGCAAGTAAAATTATGTTTTCAGAAAGTCAAAATATTATGACTTTGGAATGAAAACACATAAAAAATGGTTGTGTTATGGCACACACCAATTCGACAAAATTGGTGAATGTTCTTTCAGCCCTGCATTTTCAGTATGTAGTCTTAGTAAAGGCTCATATACTCAAAAATAAGAATCAAACATAAAGAATTTTGGGGTTCACAAATGATGGTTTGTAACCCTTGTAAATCTTTCCCACAAAAACAAAAAAAGAGTTTGATTTTCTGCGATCCAGACTCTCAGCAAACAGCCTGATGTAATGGTCATCTTGTTGTGTGTGTGTGTGTGTGTGTGTGTGTGTGTGTGTGTGTGTGTGTGTGTGTGTGTGTGTGTGTGTGTGTGTGTGTTTGTGCAGGCCCACGAGCGTCTTGAGGAAGTTAAGTTAAAAGCTGTGCGGGATGATAATGTTCAGCTGGTCACGGAGATCCTGGATTCTCTCAACAATCTGCCACAAAAAGACGATGCTGCTGCTGAGCTGGCCAAAATCCTCCAGGAGCCGCACTTTAAGGTATCTTAGACCTCATTCCTCCTCTGCACAATTCTTGCTGGGTGTAATGGGAGTAAACGGACCAGTGATTTGTAGTGTGGATGGTCGTGCTTGTGTTCTATTTGTGTGGGAATGGATGTCAGAGCTTGTTACATGAACCATCAGCTAATATTCTCTGAAGTGGTGGCAGTTTTGCTTCCGTGTCACCCTTTATATTCTCAACCACTTACAAGCTGCAGCACGAGAGGGTGTGGGTGTATTTCCTTGGGCCAATAGCAGGCTTAGTTATGTGGGTAAAGTCAGGGGGAGAAGACTGTGTCACTCACTGTTTCAGTAAATCTTCACATTTGCTGATGCAGGCTGTAGCCTCTGACAAGTGCTTACTCTATGTTGTGGCTGCTAGGGTAAGAACAAGTCTGATTTATCTTTTTTTTTGTCTCTATATATCCATTAGTCATTTGTTGATGCAGTCATAAAAGCGTCTTATGAGAAAGGAATAAGCACATTTAAATGATTTATGTCTTCACTCTTTAATGGCAAAATATTGAATGCATGTTGTACTGGCAGTCACTGTTAGTTTTTAGTATTTTGGTGGATGAACCACATAGTAGTGGCGATTGTTTTCTAAGTGAGAAAAAGATGCAGATTCTACGCTGATTGCAAACCACAGTTGATCTTATTTCTCTTTGTACTTCTCTTTTCTTCCTTTCTCTGCCTCAGTCTTTGATAGAGGCTCATGACAAAGTGGCTTCAAAGTGCTATGAAATGCCTCATGCTACGGTGAACAGCAATGCCTTGTTGACGAGTTCACTCATGCCAGCTGATGCGGTCAGGATGATCGGCATTCAGAAGAAAGCCGGGGAACCACTGGTAAGTTAGCCAGGCATTTATATCAACCACAGCTCTGCAGAGGAAACACGTGTTAAGTGTTTTACACGTTTCCTCTTTTACTGACCATCTGTTCGAACAGAGAGACTCAGTTTTACATAGTAACTCGACTCAAGTTGCTTCTTTTACAGCAACCCGACTGACCAACCCATGAAATAGGCCTCCTGTGTGATTTATGTCGTGCTGATGTGCGATACTAAATGACTCTTACACTCTTTCAGGGGGTGACGTTTCGTGTGGAGCGGGGAGAGATGGTGATCGCACGGATCTTGCACGGCAGCTCGATTGATAGGCAGGGCATGCTGCACACGGGGGATATAATCCGTGAGGTGAACGGTCATGAGGTCGGTAGGGACCCCCATGAACTCCAGGAGCTGTTGGGGCAATGCAGTGGGAGCATCACACTCAAGGTCCTGCCCAGCTACAGAGACACACCGGCACCTCCACAGGTGAGGAGAAAGGAGGCAGCATTGTATGTTTTCTTGTGTGGTGTTTCACATGCAGGAGACAGAATAATCTGTACTACATTTTTTTTGATGAGCTCTCTTAAACTTGATTTAGATTTTGAAATCAGTGCGTGAATTGCTCTGGAGTACAGGATGTGTAAATCCCAAAGTGCCAGGTGTACAAGGCTGTTTTGAGACGGACTGTACCTGTCAGGGATTGGGGGGAAGAGCTACCTGACCTGGGTGATCTTAGAATGCCAGGCTTCTGAAAAGTGACCCCAGAGAGGGTCTATTAATAACACTCCTCACACTATCTGGGACACACACCACTATTCACAGGAGCACCCCCTCTCCGTCTTACAGTAACAGGCACACACAGCAGCTGACACTGAGGAGCAGTATGTAGGGTTATGTCAGACACTGACCTTTGTGCCGGGGAGGATCGAATGCTCTATTTCTACGGTTTGGTTATGTGTTTGTTGGGTCTCACTCATGCTAAGAATTTCGACTTGTGAATTGCAACTTAACTTTTAAAAAAATGCTGCTTTAATGTGATGACTGTATGGGGCAAAGGGAAATGGACATGTACACTATTGTTGTATGACATTATTTTGATATTTCAAGAATACAATTCACATTTGTTCCACAACTATGGCATTAGTGATAAATTATGTACCAAGATAAACAGCTTGTTTTATTCACATTATCCAACTAAATGTGTTTTAACAGGGATTTGAGGTGTTGCTCAGTGCTCTCTGTATGATTTAGTTGTCTAATATCTTGTTCACACCCCAAATTGCAGATCTATCTGAAGCCACACTTCAACTATAATCCAGCCACAGACAACTTGATCCCCTGTAAAGAGGCAGGCCTGGCCTTTTTCAAGGGAGAAATCCTTCATGTGGTCAACAAGGAGGACCCCAACTGGTGGCAGGTGAATAGACACATTGTTTGTAGCGGTGGTGGTGAAAGACAGTGCTGCTTTGACCAGAGCTGTGCAGCTACAGTGGAAACCCCTCACAGGGGTCTAAAAGCTGGGGACAGAAACATCTGTATACAGTTTCTGTTTAAATAATTTGCTTATAGTAGTCAAGCAGTCTGCTTCCAGTGTTCATCTTTGGTCTTTTCATACATAACATATGAGGGAAAAAACCAAAACAAACTATGATTATTCTATATATGATAATTATACTTAACTGTTGTGATGCTTTGCTTCGCTGCAACGTATCTTTTAAAAAGTCTTTTATATATTTTTATGACTTTAAATACCAATAAAAACAACTTTATCCAAAAAAAAAGATGCTAGTGATGAGGACAGAAAATGAGTGTGCATGGGCACAGCACCTGTGGTTGAAATTGCCCTTGTTAAGTAGATTGTTATTGCCTGTTCATGCACTGACTGTAGTGTTTGAAACAGACAGTAAAGTTATGTAAATTGCAAAGCTGTCCATTTAATCACTTAATATTTATGTAAAAAGATGTGCAAATGTCAAGTAAATGTAATCTACTTGAAATTAAACAAAACAACAGAAATTTGATGATAAGCATCATCCACTTACCATAAGTGATTCCCACTGTAATCAGCAGTAGGGTGGAACGGACAAGCTGCGGGAGGTGGCTAAAGATGAGAAGGAACATGTTTGTAACAGATACCTAGGCATGGTATTCTTTTACTAGGTGAAATATTTAATGCAGTAATCTCTGAACTACTCTGATGTCCTCATAGGCCCGCAAAGTTGTTGGTGGAGCCACTGGTCTGATCCCCAGTCAGTTCTTGGAGGAGAAGAGGAAAGCTTTTGTGAGAAGAGACTGGGATAATTCTGGTTCAGGTCAGTTCAAATCATGCTCACACAAGCTAACTAGTTATCATGATAGTCAGGAAGCTCTTTAGCACCACCATGTGGTGATCTGACACTTTCTTTTATTTGTCTCAGGGATGCTCTGTGGAACTGGGAAGAAAAAGAAGAAAAAAATGATGTACCTTACTTCAAAGAACGCAGGTGTGTTATCGCCACTGGATCTAACTTTTATACAATTTTTCGTAAGTCTGCAGTGTTAAATTGGAAGTGCATAAATGACAGTACAGAACTCATCCAGCCTCTGCATTGCCTTGAACAGAGTTTGACCGTTACGAGCTGCAGATCTATGAAGAAGTAGCCAAGATGCCACCGTTTCAGAGGAAAACACTGGTCCTGATTGGAGCCCAGGGAGTTGGGAGGCGGAGCCTGAAGAACAGACTTATTGTCATGAACCCTCTCCGATATGGAACCACTGTACCCTGTGAGTGTTTGAGACAGACAGCTGAGGTAGATGCATTGTCTACAACTATATTTCCTGCCCGGATACATGTAACACCTTTACTGACCTTTTTTATCTCCAGTCACGTCACGCCCTCCGAGGGAAGAGGAGAGAGACGGTCAGAACTATTGCTTTGTGACGCGGGAAGAGATGGAGAAGGACATCAGAGAGAGCCGTTACCTGGAGCACGGAGAGTACGACGCCAACCTTTATGGCACCAAGATTGACTCGATCCATGAAGTGGTGACTGCAGGCCGTACCTGCATCCTGGATGTCAATCCCCAGGTGAGTCAAAGGCACGTGCTCTTAATGCTTAGATCTTTTCTTCCCATAAAGCTTTGGTTGTGACATTATATTTTCTGCTCAGGCCCTAAAAGTGTTGAAGACTGCTGAGTTCATGCCATTTGTGGTGTTTATTGCTGCTCCTGAATTGGACACACTAAGAGCTATGCACAAAGCTGTGGTAGATGCTGGACTTACTACCAAACTACTCACGGTAAGTGTTGAGAGGATGTAAAGGGATAGTTTGGATTTTTTGAAGTGGGGTTGTAAAAGGTACTTATCCATAATCAGTGTGTTAGCTACAGTAGATGGTGGTCAGCCTGCCCCCAATTTAGAGAAGCAGGAAGGAGTAGTGGCACAATGTACTACTGTGGAGGGGGCCAGCAGCAAAACATATTATCCATCTACTTTTTTTTTAAAGCCATCAGACTCCTTAAAAACAAATCAGAACTCTCCCTCTAAGGGTCTTAAATTCTTATAAATGATGATTGACCTTTCAGTGGTCATTACTCATAACTCATCATCCTAATGGGTCGAACCTCTTCCTCTAACAGGAGAACGATTTGAAGAAGACTGTGGACGAGAGTGCCAGGATCCGCCGGGCATACAGCCACTACTTTGACCTGACTATTGTCAATGACAATCTGGACAAGGCCTTTGACAAGCTGCAGGAGGTGGTAGAGCGACTATTCATAGAGCCACAGTGGGTTCCAGTCAGCTGGGTCTACTGATGTCTTTACCCCCTACTGGACAGACATGGCTGTCCAAGCTGCTAGGCTTGGGATGAAAGGGGACACCTGAAGGGACGAATGATTCGACACTGTACTGCACACACGGACAAAGTGTTGGACATTAGACCTGTGTGGATATGGGTCACGCACAAAGCTGCATCAGTCACCTTGATCTGAATTGCCAGATTCCTTTCTAGCACACTATGCAACTCACAACACACAGGAAGTGTACTTATTTATTGGCAAAATATTTTTTAAAGAGTCCTTTCTATTCACGTGGATTGGAAGAAGATACTGGCCCCCGTGTCAGGATGTTTTAAAAGCAAATGCGGTTTTTGTCATTTACCTGTCTTACATACAGATGTGAAACTGTATTTATTCTGCAATAATGAGGAGTGCTTGCTCATTGAAAAGAACGATACCTCAGTGTTAAGTTTACAGTGCATATGCCTGCAGAATTTCGTCTCATGTTGTCACTACAAACTTGTCATTCATGTAGAATAGTGTCATATTTTTAAGACCTTTCTCCTTGAGGCTTCACTTAAGCTCTGCTGTCTTTGCAGTCCGAACTCATACCTGCAAAACGTCATGCCAGTCACTGTTCGATGTTGTACAGAAGGAAAAGTATTTCTGTAGTGTTTACCCATTATTTCTCTTTCACTCAAGCACAACAGATTACATTAATTATGTTGATTGTTTGTCAGACACTTGGATCATTTGAGTATTTCAGACTGTTAGACCTGTCGATAAGGTGCTGTCTTTGTGTTTGTTTGAAAGAAAACTTTCCACAGGACTCTTGAACAGGGTACTGCATCTCAGAGAACCATCCCTTTTGATGTGATATTACTAAAACTTAACCGTTTTAAATAAAGTTCATATTTACTTATAAAAAGGTATATTTTACAAGAATTCAGAAAAGTTGTATTTTCAGAAATAAATAACTGGTGTTTTCTAATGATCCACTCTGGTTTTATGTTGTGTTGAGTGTGTGTTCACAAACTGGTGGAGATTTGTTTTGTTTTTTTGTGATGTTTTTATAGAGAAACAGACAAAAAGGACACAAACGGTAAAGAATTTGAACAATTTACAATATTGCTAAAATCTGAAATAATACTTAACAATTAGTGGCACAGTGAAACTAAGAAACTAAGTAAACTAAACTAAGAAAAGTTATAAAAGAGAAACGAACAACAGCCAAAAAGAATGTTGACTACAAGATATCCTACAGCAGTGATACTCAACTTGCGGCCGATGGGCCAAATCTGGCTCTCGTTAGGGTATCAGGTGGCCCTCAGACCATTTTCTAATTTAGAATAAAATGTAAATTGATCTAGACTGGGATTTTTTGTACTTATAATGTAAATAAGGTGCCAGAGTGCATATAGAAAACATTAAAACAGAGGTTGTTTAGTGCCAGAGGACTAATTATTTCAATATTAATTATTAATGTTTCTTTATTAACTGGCCTCCTGGCAATTTGCAAAAGTGCAAGTTGAGTATACCTGCCTTACAGATTCAGAGTTCTGGTGATCCTTCAGGGCTGAGAAGTGAAATTAAAGCCTATATAAAATAATATGTAGTGTCATTTTAAAAGGTGAGGGTTATAATTGGTGGTTTAATGGTTTTCATGACATTGACAGATAATACACTTACATAAAAATCCTACTGTAGATAAAACTGTAATTACATGAGAACTTGATAAAGAGATGCTTCCTTAAAATACTATCACCCAAAATAACACAGTTAAGAACCATGGGCCTGCGATTTAAGACTCTTCATTCATTTTCATTCAGACTAAAATTTGAATATCATATTCAAATTGGTGTTGATATTGATGCTGCTACCGCCAGTAAGTGCCATGATAAAAATGTAAATTCTAGTCAAAGTTTTATATCAAAGATTGTGCACATCAATCAGAATTTAGCTGTGGCCCATAGAATATCATATTTCAGGGCTGCAGCTGATAGTTATTTTTTATTACACCATGGCCACTTGAAAATTTTGGGGTTTGATTAGCTTACCTTAGCTGAAACGCACAATGTGTAGGGGTCTATCCCTTACTTGACAATAAACAATAATGACTAAGTGGATCATTTTAGGATTGTAATGAATTGTTTTTTGATCGTTCTTTTTCCTTGATAAAATCTGAAAAAAGGTAAAAAAAAAAAAAAAAGAAAAAAAAAGGCCCCTCACACTTTGCAAGAACCTGAGGTGATGTCATACAGTCCAAAATCTATGACCAATTGATTGTCAGATTTTTTTAAGATTGACTTAAAGCATTGACTGACTGTTTTATCACAGTTATATTTATACAACAGCACCCTGCAGTAAAATGTCTGTTTTAGAGGACATTCCACTGCACCATAAAGAGAAAATAACGATAAATAAAACGATCTACGTGATCCCCTTTACCTCATTCCAGTGGAGTGTATCAAGTTTCTGGTGGATATAAAGGTGTCTCCGGTTCAATCACTGTGGGCCAATGAGGCGAGGCCTCTGACAGCAATACACAGGACCAGAGCGAGGTTTCCTGGCACGTGGTTTATGTATGTCTTTACAGTGTCCTCATCTCTCGTCAAAGACACATTAGAGGAAGCAAACAGATGTTCAGTCTTTTCATAGACGTCTTCTGTCAGTGCAGCCAGGCCTGCGCTGCCCCGAGGTAACTCCCCCTTGCCCGTTACGCACTGCACCTGGATCAGGTAAAAGGAAGCTAAATCACTGTGATGCATCATTCATTAAAAAAACCCTCACATAATATGTTGTTAAGCTAATATTCTTTGTAAAATCTCTACTAACCAGTAGCTCAAGAGCCGGTAACACTGTGAGGCGGCAGCACATTCCCAAGACAGCAAGACAATCATTTTTCATCTCTGAAAGCAAAGACCCAGAAACAGGATGAAAAAAGAGCTGGAGGAAATTAGGTTTAGAGGACACTCTGCAGGACATTCTTCCTGAACTTGAGATGAAGACCTTGAGCAACATTTAATTAAAGTACAGCTCTCTCACCATCCATGGCACTGATGATGAGGTGAAGAGCTGTGAGGAGAGGTTTGCACTTCTCTTGACCAGACTCCTCCAAAAGGTCCAGAATTGCTTGGATGTTCTGTTTTTGGGAGTCTGTTGCTGTGACATCACTCAGGGAAGGTATCTTATCCAGGCGCATCTGGTCCAGCTGAGACAGAGGAAGATAATGTAACAGAGGTTCCTTACGATAACCCCAAATTACTGGGGCATAATCACAATGCACTTTAGACAGTATCAAAATAATGTATTGGTTCTAACTATTTTATGCCCTTATAATGTGCATAAAACTTGGCATTGATCGAAACCTCTAAATTATTTAATGAGAATACACTGATGTTGAACTCAGGGTGGAAGGGAGGGATAATCGCTGCTTGTTCAGGTTGTGGCTAGACCAGATACTACTTCTGTCAAACTCTATCTACAAAGCCACGACATAATATGTTACAAAAACAGTCATAAAAATGTTATAAAGAATGTCCTAACACAGAGGTAAAAAAAATTCAGAAAAGTCATAGTATAGTGTGCAGTAAGATGTTACAAAAACCATCATTGTATAGTATGCCATAAAAAGACATTCATTAAAAAGTCATAGTATAGATTGTCATACAACATCATTGTATAGTATGTCAAAAAAAGGTCATAGTATAGTATGCCAAAATAAGTCATAGTATTGTATGTCATAAAAAAGTCATAGTATAGTGTAGAAAAAAAAGTCATAGTATAGTATGTCATAAAAAAGTCATAATATAGTATCTGATAAAAAAGTCATAGTATAGTATGTCAAAAAAGTCATAGTATAGTATGGCAAAAAAGTCATAGTATAGTGTGTCAAAAAAAGTCATAGTATAGTATGTCATAAAAAGTCATAGTATAGTGTAGCAAAAAAAGTCATAGTATAGTATGTCATAAAAAGTCAAAGTATAGTATCTGATAAAAAAGTCAGTATAGTATGTCAAAAAAGTCATAGTATAGTGTGTCAAAAAGTCATAGTACAGTATGTCATAAAAAGTCATAGTATGTCAAAAAAGTCATAGTATTGTATGTCATAAAAAAGTCATAGTATAGTATGTCAAAAGTCATAGTATAGTGTAGCAAAAAAAATCTTAGTATAGTATGTCATAAAAAAGTCACAGTATAGTATGTCAAAAAGTCATAGTATAGTGTGTCAAAAAAAGTCATAGTATAGTATGTCATAAAAAGTCATAGTATAGTATGTCAAAAAAAATGATAGTATAGTATGTCAAAAAAGTCATAGTATAGTATGTCAAAAAAAGTCATAGTATAGTATGTCATAAAAAAGTCATAGTGTAGTGTGTCAAAAAAAGTCATAGTATGTCAAAAAAATCATAGTATAGTATATCAAAAAAAGTCATAGTATAGCATGTCAAAAAAAAGTCATAGTATAGTATGTCATAAAAAAAGGCATAGTATAGTGTGTCAAAGAAATTATAGTATAGTATGTCAAAAAATCATAGTATAGTATATCATAAAAGTCCTAGTATAGTATGTCAAAAAATCATAATATAGTATAGTATGTCATTAAAAAAATCATAAAAAGGGAAAAGTACAGTATGTTGTTCAAAAAAAGACAAAAACAATCATAGTATAGTGTGTCAAAAATAAGTCATAGTATAGTATGCCATGAAAAAAGTCATAAAAAAGTCATAGTATGTTATGCTATTAAAAAGTTATTGCATGTGCACTTTTGTGCGGAATGCAAGCCTGGAATGCAAGCCTATGCCGGCTCCCCAAAATGGCACTCAATCATCAACAGTTTGAGACCCCTGATCTATGATTTTTGTTTCAAAATACTTCACAATGGTCAGTTTAGCTGTAGAGTTTCTAACAGTGTTAAACAGGTGTTTTCAACCCTTCCACATTATAACAGTGTCTCTGTGTTGACATGACCTCTCTTTCCCCACTCACCACATGCTGAAGTGAACTGACGGCCCCTCTGTCCTTCATCACATTTGTGATTTGCTGGAGCAGAGAGGACCTTGTGGTGGCAGGGAGAGCTGAAAGCAGCTGGAAATGATCACTCAATTGCTCCAGCTCTGAATAAAATACAAAATGTACACACTTTATCATCAAACTGTGAGCATGCAGCATGTCACTGAAAAAAAGACTCAATCAGGCACAGTACGGACTAAACACATGGATCCCTGGTTTAAAGAGACTTTATAATGTAGGCCAAAGCACACAATAACAAACAGTTATCTCATCTTATGATAAGCACTGTGATTTCCAATCTCTAGAGGCACTTTATTACTTGAAAACAACATGCATTTCTGAACATGACATCAGCTGCAACCACCATCCACAGTCACATGTTTTATAGCTGCAGAGCAGATAACAGTAACTTACCTTGTCGAAGGTGGTCATTTTCAGAGGCTGGGGCTCCGACGACACCAAACAGTCCTTCCTTTGGGCCATCTACCTCAAAACCTCCATCGGTGTCTGACAACAGACACAGCTCTGTGAAAAACACAACATGTTACATTTCAAATAACTCGATGTGAATAACTGCAGTGAGAATTCAATCGGTGTACTGTGAATGATTTCTCACCATAGCGTCCATCTTGTTTGATCTCTAGCTCTAAAAGGGCATAGGCAATGGTAGTATGGACGGGAATCTCCATGGTGATGTTACTGTCTTTACTCAAGCTCCCATTCTCCTTCAATGCAACCTGCACATTTGACACAACACCGCAGTCACATGAGACCAAACACACAAACTCCACCAAACTCAGTCTGTTTCAAAGGGAATATCCACGTTAACATTATTTATTACTGCTGAATATCAGTTGTTGGTGATGCATCAGACATTTGCAGTCCATGTTGCCGGTGTGTCTGATTCAAACAGATGTAAAAATGAGGATGAAGCTACAATGGAATTTAATATCAGAAACCTTTTCATCTATCTAGGACATGGACAGTGAATGCTTTGATGTCTCCCTGAATCAGACTTCCTCTGTGTTTTATTCAATAACAAAGAGAGGAACCAAATTATCAAAGAGGAAGATAAATAATATTTTCCACCAAGAGCTGGCAAAATAGATGGCACAAATGTCTTTTTTCATTTCTTCTTAACAAGAAAAAATAGAGAACTGAGACTCATTCAGGGAAACTAGAAGGAAATACCAAAACATATTGAGAGAAGGCCGGCACAACAAGAAGTATTCATAGGGTTATATGTAGCTTATTTACCAGGGTTGCCTAAAATTTTCACGGACAAAACTTCAAAACTTTTTTCTATGACTTTTTAATGACCCATAATAAAATTTCCATGACCATTTACAATGTAGAAAATGAACTTGGCAAATGATTTTGTGGCATTCCTGGTTGTCTAGTGGTGTAGGAAATACAGCTGATCTAATTTATGCTAAAATCTTATCAAGAACTCAGTGCACAGTTCAGTCTAAAAGATAAATCTGATTTCTGGAGATATTTTCAGATAAGGAGTAGTTTGGGGAACGTAGATCAGCAGTTGCCTGAGGAACATTATATGATACAGATGTATTTTAAAGTCTGCTAACACAATATATGGCAACTGCGAGAACCTCAAACTTATCTGGCAAAGGGATTTAAATGTAAACACTAATAAGGATTCTTGGGCAAAGAAAATCTCCGGTGCAGACTGGTTTACAAGAGAAGCTCGGGGAAAATTTACACATTATAAGATACGTAATCAATACTGTTTAACACTTGTCCATCTTCATAAAATGGGTTTACTAGAAAATAATCTATGCTGGAAATGTAAAAGGCAGGAAGGCACCTTTATCCATGCAATGTATGCCTGTCCTCTAGTTCTACCTTTCTGGAGAGAGGTAATCAAACCAGTACAGGAGTGGCTGGGTGTGCCTGTTCCTGAATCAGTTCAACTTTGCTTCTTGGGGGACGGGACGTATTTACTCAAGATCTCCATATAGCCATAACATAATAGGTATGGAAACTATGGGAGTTATGACCCTACATGTGAAATGACACTTTAAATTCCATTCAAACATTATTCCAGCCAGCTGCCACACAGAAAGCGAGAGACGGAACGTGGGGAGGAAATGATGTAACGTACGTGATGGTAAAGAAAATGTTGTCACACATGAGCGCAAATCAGAGCTACACTGTGTTACACGAACAGCTAGCCTACAGACAATAAACATGCTGTTATGTTCCATTATGTGGAAGGTTATCCATGGAAGCTTACTGTTACAAAATGTAATGATATTTCCAAAACTCTTTTTTGGTTTTTACTAATTCCATGACTTTCCTAAGCCTGGAAAATGAGACTGAAACACCATGTCTTTTCCAGGTTTTAAATGACTGTGGAAACTCTGTATATAACAGTGAAAGCGTGATGACTTTCAGTTGTAATGAACCTTTACAGTACATTATCTTTCAAACAGTAATCTACCGTAAGAATGAGATTCTCAGTGCTGATACTGTACCTTTGGGCTCTTGGGCCCGCAGAGGCTCAGTCCTCCTCCACACTCTCCTCCCTTCTGCACCTCCTCGATGACCGAACAGGGCTGAGCAGTCACAATACGCTCCTTCACGATACCAAACACCCGCCTGTGCTTCTGCTTCGTCTGCTGGACCAGACAATGGGACATATCCAGGACCCTGACACATTCAATTCACAAAAACATCACTATAATGTTTCACAGGGGAATATTCTTGGGAATATTATTTTGAAACAGACTTTGAATTCTGTGATTTGTCTTTAACTAATTTCAATTTTAAAATTCACTGCAAAGTCTTAGGGCTACTGTGAAAATGTGCCTACTTAGGGCAACAGCCCAGTTGCACTGGTGTGTGGGTATCTCCTCTGCCATCTTTTCTAATCTTAAAATTCATCCAGAACAAAAACAAGCAGTTTTCTTGTGAGTGTTAATATTCAACCCAGCACCTGTTTGGCGTGCAACTTTATGGTCGGACAAAGATCACCCCAGCTGTTTGCAGATCTTCAACACACTGCACGTCATATGATATCTACAGTGTTTTCTTTTGTTTTAACATGTGGTGGTAACTGACCGGTCTTTGGAGTCTAGCAACAGCTTCTGCACATCCACTTCCTCTTTCTTCAGACTGTCAAACGATAACTGGAGTTTGGAGGAATCTTTACCCTCCAGGCTCACACTGGAGTGGACAAACTGCGAGGCCACAGTCCCTTGGATCTTGTCACCATATGTCCCATTGTATTTGATAAAGTCTGTCTCTATGACACCTGTGGGCAGGGGAGCATTTAAGTGCTTTGTGATAATGAAATAAAACGATGCAACTCAGCATGGACTGTTTTAATGTTTACCTGGCTTTATAGGTGTGTCTCCTGTTAGTAGATCGTTGAGGTTAAAATCAGTGGGAACATACTTGGGCTTCTGCCAAACCCAGAGACGCTTGCGCTTCACCACCACTGTCAGAAGAGCTATAGTGTCATTCAGGCTGGACACTGGGATCAGCAAACCTCCACGGTCCACCTCATCCACAAAGTTTCTGGTGGCTGTGGCAAACATGTCCCAGCTGGATGAATCCTGTTAGGCTGATCATGAAGTTAGACATAAAGCCAAAGAGTGAGGACTTGTTTATTTATCAGTCTGGAGAAAAAAGTACCACCACCCATGTGAGCTCCTCCTCAGGCTGCAAACTTGTGTAGCTGCTGATTCAACAATCCTTTCATCGTCCCTGTCTCTCAAAAAAGTTTTCATAACGCTACTTCAGATCATGACACTTACATACAGCATATCAAGAACACAAAAGATTAAAAGAATATCTACAAAAACAGCCACTTTCAAACACTTCTCCCCAGTGGAGAAGTAGCTACATGCTAACAGCATCAGCAAACACATCTGTCTCAAGTGTTACTGTAAGTTCGTCCCTGCTTGAAAAAAAAGCACCGAAACAAATGCACATACTGCATGTTTCACAGCTTACCCACAGTCCTTGTGTCAGTGATGAAACTGTGCTTGCGGCTGTCAGACTTTCAGAGAACACACTGTTTCCACATCACAGTTTCACGAGTGAAGTGAAGCTTGTTGTGTGGACAAAAGACGTGCAGACGCTCCGCCTCCTCTGCACAGGAGCTGTGGGTGTGTTACTGTGGTGGTGCGTTCGTTTCGTACTCGGAGGTCGGAAATTCCGAGTTCCCGGTCGGAAGTTTAAACTCGAACGCACCCTGAGATCGGATTTCCAACTCGGAAACTCGGAGCAACCGCATCAACCCCGACTTAAGAATTCAGGATGGCTGCCAGTCACATACACAGTGAGTAAACACTCTGCTTAAGTAATGTTTATAGCAATTTTATCTTATTTGTTTTACATTAGGTCAGCCTCATCTGCAGACTTCATCAGTTGGAGTGCATGATGATTTTGAAGCTGTCTATACTCCCAAAGTACAAGGGCAACAATCGCTTTCTTGCGGGTGTCCATGTTTTTTACGACTTGTCCACCTTTGTCAACTAGAATGCAGAAACTGTTGTCAACTAGGAGGTGACGATTCCCACTTCTGACTTCCGACCTCCGAGTACAAAACGAACGCACCATAAGGCCACTGTCAAAATACATGTATAATGATAATAATAATAATTAATCGCAGATTAGTAGCAGAGATGGCTGTCATCTTGTTTTTACATGGATTAGTGTATGGTGCTCTTACTACCACTGGATGGCACATAAAAGTGTCCACGGACGAGGACAACAGGCCCAAGTTAAGCAGAATAAAGTGAAAGGTCTAGTAAACCCTAAATGTAATGTCCTCATATGACATATATAATATAATATAATATAATATACATATTTTTTTTATTTATTTTTGTCCCAGCACAATATCAGCGACAAATGGGACTCAAACATATAAGCATATAGCAAATAAAGCTTTTCAAATCATGCACTTTATCACATACCACCCTTCTTCTTCTTCTTTCGGCTGTTCCCTTTAGGGGTCGCCACAGCGGATCATCTTCCTCCATCTAACCCTATCCTCTGCATCCTCTTCTCTCACACCGACTGACTTCATGTCCTCTTTCACTACATCCACAAACCTCCTCTTTGGTCTTCCTCTAGGCCTCTTGCCTGGCAGTTCCAACCTCAGCATCCTTCTACCGATATATTCACTATCCCTCCTCTGAACATGAATCTCTCTGACTTTATCTCCAAAACATCTAACATGAGCTGTCCATCTGATGTACTCATTCCGGATCCTATCCATCCTCCAAAGAGCACCTCAACATCTTCATCTCTGCTACCTCCAGCTCTGCCACTTTATCACATACCACTGGTTTAAATATTAAATGAAAGAAAAAAGGGTAACATTTTTGATCAACTATAATGTTTTGCCAAAACATCTTGGTGGACCTGTGAGTCCAGATAATACAGCACTGTCAAGTTCACTTTGGTCTTTGTAATGTCCCCGCAACACTGATGGCTATTTGTTGCCACCTGGTGGAGACAGACTGTTCCTCAGCTTTACTTTACATGTTGTATTGTGCACACATATACTCTGATTTAGATCACATGAAATCAGCACTACTTCATTACAAGTTAGTTATAGGTGATTTTAATGCTTGGCATATTACATTTCAATACACCATTACTGGTAAACTCATCATCAACAAAATCATCAGCATCTTATTTTAGTTTTACATTTTTTTTCTGTGTAATAAACAAAGCACGCTCTAGGGGCCACTAGTGGTATCTCAGTCTTTCAGTATTGTTCATCAGTCTTACATAATTTATCATATTACTTAATCCAGTGTTATTGGTTGATCTGTTCAGTTATATTTTTCTCTTGTCTGATAACCTGTACTTGTTTCAGGGCTCCACAATTGGATTATCAACCTTAGATTATGGTTACAGTATGAGAAAATGTAGTAGTAGTAGTTTGAATAGGTGTAGATTTTGAGGGGCACACAGGGTACACATCCCCCTTAATATTTAGAATATGTGTATCAGCCTTCTCAGTAAAAACCTTTGACAAAATTAAACATTTCCTCCATAAACTGAAGCAAAAAGGCACAAATTGGTATAGAAACATTTACCAGAATACAGGAAATGAAGTGTTTCCTGCTCAAAATTTCCCTGGGGAGAATACCAGCTCCCCTCTTTCATATGTCTTACCCCCAAATGTTGAAATGAAACCTGTGCCCTTGGTGGTGTGGACAGGAAGTCAACCACACCAGAGTAAAGTGGCTAAGTCACAACACTGTGAAATGAATTAGCTGTGTGCCAACGTTAAATCAATTTTCAAAGTGGCTTGAGGCAGTAAACAGTTTACCCAGCATTTGTGTTACACAGCCACAATAAAAACTGCACGGTTCCTGTTTGGAGAACATTATTTGGGGCCAACCCATGTGTTACAATGATAGGAGGAGTGTAAAACCTGCAGCCCTGAGCAAAAATGGTATAATTTATTGAGAAATCTTTCACCCTTGTGAACGGAAAGGCGCTTTCAAGATCATAATACACCCTTACACACTGAAGTTTCCAAGTGTTTTAAGCAAAAGCCTTTCATGGCCTGAACTCGTCTGATATTAGAACGGTCAACTTGTTACACTGGTTTCCATCGTCACCTCTAACCTTTTTGGAGTGGGAGAATTCAAAGGTCTGGACCCAGCACTACCATAATATAACTTTCATGGGATATTCAGTATAATGGCACTGAGAATAATAATTGAGTTACTCTGATTGCACACTAACTTCTTCCTCTTAGGACCTGTGAAGTTTAAAACTGATGATTCAGTTTTCTCTTTTCCTGTTGGCACATTTAACCAACATTTACAACAGAGTTCTCAGTGTGACAAGTCAGCATCTCAGTAAAGTGGAAGTTATGATCAGGGTCTGCTTCGTAGCTTTCAGTGTTTCAAACAAACAGTAACAGATGACTTCACAACAGGAAAGCATCAGAGTGAAGTTATGAAAGGGGTCTGGACCATAGCTTTCAGTGCGTCGAACAACAAGGTGACAAATGACTCCACAACGGGAAAGCATCAGAGATTTTATTTGAGCTCATGGAGCGTAGTTTTGGACACTTTTGGTCCCAAAGCCCAGGGTCCAGGTAGACAATGGTGCAATGGATACAGTGAAAAATGGTTGCTACTGCTGCTCATGGTTGCACAGTCATTCACACAGTCATAGCAAAAAAGCTGTAATCACTGTTATGAGACATAAAAGAAAACTTAAGTAAGGATTTAAAGATAATTTGTTTGGTCCTTACAAAACATATATCTCTAAAAAAAAAGACCTCAGAGATGCAACAAAAATAAATTAAACAATATGAGTACAACGAGTAAGGCATCAGGCAGGTGCAGAATAAATACCGGATGTGTACATTTCATCAATGGCATATCAAGGCTAGTTCATCTCAGAGGTAGAGAATGTCCATGATAAGACGACAGCTAAAGTGACCAGTTGTTGAATACATTTTAAGCTAGTGTAGACCCGTTATGAGAAGGATTTGTCATCCTCCACAGCGAGTAGTTTTCCTTTTCTCAGTTTACGTGGTACAGTGTAACATATCAGGTGAAAACATGGGCAAAATCTGCCTAAATGTATCAACATTCTCATAATATTTTTGTTTGCATAAACATTTTTTACACAACTTACATAAGCACTTGCTATTAAGGCAATATTTTTGATGAACGGCAATAAAGAAGATCAGTACTGAATGTGGATGGTGAGACTGGGGATACAAACACCAGAACCAGCCTGGGTCACAGTAGAGGCTGCGCAGATCGATATGTGTGCGATCTGCAGTTCAGGGGTCACCACAGAGTAGGAAAATCAATTTGGGTGAAGCCAGGGTCCTTTCTCAGCTCCCAGTATGTGTTGTTGCTCACCCAGGTGTCATCCTTTGACTTCCTGTGGAGGCAGAAGAAAAGCGAGGTGGTGATGAATACTGTGAAAGACTTGGAGATTGACACAGGCAGCTGTAACATGTGCTCACTTTCCCATGAATGAAAAGCTAATAAATCTGTATATTTAGTCTACCTGAAGAATTTAGGTTGGTGTGTTAAGTTGTTCTCCTCCATGACTCTTCGCCTTTCTCTCTGCAGCTGTTCAATCCTCTGCTTCTGCTCCTCTGCAGCCTCGAAGTTCCCCTCCTCCAGCAGTCTGCCAGCGAGACACACAGACACATCCATTATGCAAACATTCATCTGTAATATTCAAATGTAATCATCACTCACACAGTTAGATTGCCCCATTATGTAAACAGGAAAATAAATAACCCAGGATATTAGAGGATGAGAAGCAGTGTCAATTTGTACTGTAATGGCAAAGTGCCTCTTCTTCTTTCTGCGGTGCCTCGTGGCAGCAGTGCATACTTCATAGACTTTTAAACTTTCAAAAATGTGAGCTAAAATTTGTTTGATGAATCTGAAAGCCTCTGCAGTCACTCGCTGTTCTTAACATGAATACCGATGTGCCTATTTTTGTGCTGTTTTGATCATAGGGTTGGGTGAGCATTTTTCAAGACAGCGTGTCAGCAGACTGTGATTGACGTCCACCGTGTCAGTTGATAAAAGATGCTTTGTGTTTTTATACTGTTTATTATTATTACTGCTTATTATATGACTCTTTGTTTTTGTACAATTTACATATTTCACATACTTATTTATTGCTTTGAATTATCTTCTACTGATGCTTACTGTTTGCACCATCCTTTTCTGCTGTTATGTTGCACATTTCCCCACTGTGGGATGAATAAAGGATTATCTTTTCTCATCTCTTATCTTAAATATTCACTGCCATAGCACTGTTTTTGTTTTATATCAGTCGATAATTATTCTCTGGCAAAAAAATCTGTTTTAACCAAATTTCTTGAATTCTTTTTCCCCAAATAAAAATCCCGTTCCTTTCATGATGTTTCAGATATCAGGTTATTGAAACTCATCAATATTCACATTACTTTAAGAAGTATTTCACTGCAGGAAAAAAAGTTGTTTTCATAAAACTGTGTAGAAAAAAAGACGCAAATACTTTTGACATTGGCGCTACATGACCAGAGAAAGCAGAAGAAAAGGGTTGTGGCATTTGCTTTTGCTCAAGAGGCAG